CTTGTCTGTCCTGCCTGCCCACCATGATGGATTGAGCCTCAGAAACTGTGAGCCAAAACATATCTTTCCTCTTTTAAGTTATTATGACAAGCATTATCACAATGACACAAATGCCTTACTGTACAGCTACAATTTCACTATAGAGAATGAAAATAGGGCAAACTAAAATGTCACACATCTTATTGTTCTTACCAACATTTAGCTCTTATTTATTTTTTGTGTAGCACTAGGGATTCAACAGAGGCCTCATGCATGCTAGGCAAGCATTCTACCCTTTGAGCTATGCCATCAGCCCTTTGTTTGTATTTTGTTTTTGAGATAGGGTTTTGTCTTCATCTCCAGCCTCATCTGGCATTTCCTTTTACTGAGCTATGGAGTTTTAATTTCCTTAATGTTATACCACCTTCCATCTTAGGACCTTTGTCTACACAATTACCTATGCCTGCACTCCCATAGCAGGTAAATTCTCTTCTGCCCTAACTTAGCATAATGTACTTTCTATTCATAGCACTTATAGCAATTACCAGAGACTGAATTAACATGTGGGTGGTATTTGATTCATGCCTAATTTTTTCACAGAGTTTAAACATAATCAGAACAGGTGAAGTATCATTTTGGTTGCCAAGTCTACCCTGCATTTAATGTATTACCATCATACCTTTACTACTTAATATTTGCTAAAATGAATTATAACAAAGATGCATATTTTGAAAATAACAATTAAAAAATTTAAAACCATGTTACCTCACAAATAGTATAAAATAAGGAAGCAGGCACAGCCCAATACACACAAAAGGAAAACATAACTGAGAGTATAAACTAAATATTTTATTCTTGATCATTTTATGGTAATGTTTTATGTGTGTTGCTTATACTATAGTATGTATTTTATGTGCATTGTTTAATCTTCGAAACACCCTACTATTATCAATGTTTTACAGTTAAGAAAACAGGTTTGTATACTCCTGGAATCAAAGTCAACATACAATATAAATAACTGAACATCCATGTTAATTGTGGTACTATTTACAATAGCCAAGAAATGGAGTCAGCTAAGGTGCCTACCAAAGGATATATGGATGAAGAGAATGTGATACACACACACACACACAAGTATTATTTAGAATTATGTCATTTGCAGGAAAATGGATGAAACTAGTAATCATATTAAGCACAATAGGTCAGACTCAGAACGAGAATATCCCATATTTTCTCTCATATGTGGAATCTAGATATTTAAATACATGAAAATAAAAGGAGGACTATCTAGGATGAGGAAGGGGACCAGTGGTGGGGGGGTGGGGGACAGAGAAGATAACAGGGGAAAAAAGAAAACTGAGGCTTATAGATGTTAAGTAACTTTAAAAGTCATTTTCTGGGCACTTGGGAATTAAACTTTCAGTTACTAATCAAAAGGAAAAAGAGAGCATGGAGATATGTCTCAAGTGGTAGAGCTCCTGCCTAGCAAGCCTGAAGCCCCGAGTTCAAACGCCAGCACTACCAGAAAAAAAGGAAGAAAAAGTTAAAGTTCTCTACAAAAAAAAAAAATTCTCATATTTGAGTCATAAAAAAACAAAACAAAACAAAACAAAACATGAAACAACCCATCCGCTCCTAACAAAAGAAACCCTCAACAAAATGACCCAGGTTAAATATAAATGGATGGCCTAAGGTTTATTAGGCAAAATCAAAACCAAACCAAAACAAAATTACAGTAAAAGTTAAAGCATTAACATAAGAAGAAGGTAACATTCTAAATGATACAAAAAACCTTTTCTTAGGCTGAAACATAAGCTATATAATTATAAAAGCCATATACCTTTATAGGATGAATGTAAAGTCAAAATACATAAACCACCAACTGCTAAAAACATAATGAGTGAAATGACACACCTTTATAAGGATTAAATAGATCATATAAAAAAGGTCTTCATATTCAGTTACATAATAAATATGTGCTAATATTTTAAGAAATCTGTGTATAGAATAAAAACTAAAATATTAACTCTGCTGCTTTAAATTCATCTGTCATTACAAGGTCACTGTTATCAAAGATTAGTGCATTATCTTTTCAAACATCTTATGTATTTACACAGACACATGTATAACATATTCATAACTGATTTTAAGGAAATGAAGCTTAAACTTACATTTTCACTTTTTTCTAACATACATATTTTTCTAGGTCGATCACCCTTACTATAATAGATCTACATTTATATTCACTTTTAATGGCTTATTAATTCATTCAGTCACTTTAAAAATAACTGTCTCGGTAAAAAATAATCTGACTGATTGGCAGCCTAATTTTGCCCAATATGGTATCCACTAGCAACCTGTGACTATTATGCAACTAAAATGTGGCTAGGCCAAGCTGTAAGTCTAAAATATACACCACATTCTGGATACTGTGCAAAAATGCAAAATATCTCATCAATAATTTTGTATCGATTATATTAAAATATTTTTGGCTCATTGCAATAATATTTCATTAATTTTACCCATATCTTTTTATTTTAGTATAAGTCCTTGTATTTGTAGCTCATATTATGTTTCTAGAATAATGCTGTCCTAGTTCAGAAAGATACAGAAGTGACCCACAGCCCAGCACTCAAGGAGGGGAATACTTAGTCTGGTGAGTGAAAACAATGAACATAAAACCATGTATGTTCACATACAGACACACATGAACAATACTACCACATATAAGTATTTCGTTTGCTTAGAAAACAAACCACTCAAGTGATTTTTTTTCTATTGATGGAAACTTTATTCATAAAATACTGCTACAAAATTTAAGTAATGTTGAATTCATTTTATAGATGGATGCAACTTTGTCTGTTATTTACTTTGACAAGTACTTTAAAATGAGAAATGTAATGAGAGTATTATAGTAATTACCAACTTCCCTTCAAGAAGAATTGACAATTGTAGTGTGTTAAAATGTTTAAGTCTTTTGGTAATAACAAATAACATATTCAAAGTTAAAGCACCTTTTGATATGTTTGGGGCTGGGAGAGAAAGTGAAGCTGGATTTAACTTCTGTGTAAGTTATACACCTGAGTAAGTTTGTTAGATGATGGCATTTGGCACTCAAGCAGGAATGGGCATGGAAGTAGAGTGCACTGTTTCTGTACTGATTTTTTTTAATCACAAGAACGATTAAATTTTATAGTTTATTAAGACACACGAACATTAACTTCCACAAATACTTGACTCTACTTTCTCTTTCTCTTATTCTCTTTTAAACATCTATATTTATTAATGCTTGGGGGGAACATTGAAAATAAATTCACCAGTTATTTTAACTATTCATTATTTACTGCTGGGTAATAGAATTACTGATTGTTACTTTTTGCTTTTAACATGTTTCTACATTTTCAATTTCTCAACTATAAGCAATTATTTTCTGACACTAAACTTTGAAACTATTTAAAATATTTTGCTTAATAACAATCCTTGTAATATGGCAGTGATGCTAGCTATTGAGACAATGGATTTGGCCATTACAAAGCTTTTTAGAGCTCTTAACCCTTCCATTTTTAATTATGTTTGGTTAATTGCCAAGGTATGTTACATCCATGGCTTGTGAAAGCAAAAATTAGTGACATTTGGAAAGTGGTTGGCATATATTGTCTCTAAAAGCTTAAAATTATTTAAAACGTCTTATGCCCTTTGCCCCCAGTATTGCCCCTTCTTATAAAGAAGAAAACATATAGTAAGTTGATCACTGAATCTTAACTATAGTTGAGAAAGATGGTGAGATTAGAAAAAGGTTCAAATTACAGTGCATTAGTCAACAGAATACTCTTATTTGTAACAATGATTGTGAAATAAAAAAGCATTCATGTTAGGTTAAATAAAGAGTACAACATTGTATACATCTATGTTGGGACTGGTATATAAAACTTTGGTATTTCTAGGCATAAGGATAGGAAGGATATATAGAAAAATAAGTCTTTTTTTATTTAGGTATGAGAGGATTGTGAGTAGAACTCTCATTAACAAACGAGGTCACTAGAAACATTGTACAACTTTTTAATTTTACTTACCAGCTGCTGGTAGTATTATTTAAGACTATTTAGTGTATCTATTATTAAAAGCGTTGCTTTTATTTCAAACGCCCCGCCTTTTGGGAAATACACAAGTTGGGGCCAGTGTTGTTTGCACACACCTGCTCATGTAATACTGTACTTTTTATAGTGCACTTGTAATTCTACTAGAAGTTCCAGAATTAAAGAACTCAGTATCGACAAACTAGTTAAGTGGTGGCTAATACGAAATGTCAACTATTCCCCCACGATCTTAAAGCAATTATGACCATTTCTACAATGTTTTTTATTCATAATTTTTTTTGGTAATCCAAGTTTTAAGAGCCATATATTTCCAAAGTAGTGCTTCATATTTTCAAAGTGATTAGACCGCAAATTACTGAATTATTTAAAATTCCTCAGATGCCTGCACTTTTTTTTTTTTTCTGTGCCGCAGATGCAGCAGTGGAGGGACAGGCAGACAGACAGACGGACACACCCCCTTCGCCCCCCTTGCTCTAGACGCCTCCACTTCTTCCGTGCCGCAGATGCAGCAGTGCAAGGACAGGCAGACACACAGACAGACGGATACAGCCCCCTTCCCCCCCTTGCTCTAGACGCCTGCACTTCTTCCGTGCTGTAGATGCAGCAGTACAAGGACAGACAGACACACAGCCCCTTCCCCCCTTGCTCTAGACGCCCGTACTTCTGCAGCGCCGCAGCGGCGGGCAGTGGGGACCGCGCGGGTCCTCACGGTCTCCGAGGCCCGCGGGGGCGGGAACCGCACGCCTCTGCAGCCCGGCGGTGTACGGACGCCGCCGCGTCTGACTGCCCCGGAGGAAGGGTGCGGGGCGCCGGGGCTCGGGAGGCCGCGGCGGACGGTGGGCAGTGACCCTACGCCGTCGCGTCCCACTCTTTGCTTATTCCCCGCAGGGTCCGGGCTCTGTCCCCGCTTCCGGGGTCCCTCCGCGACCCCGCCAGTCCCCGGCGGCTGCAGCCCCACCGGCCCCACCGCCTCGTCCCGTCTCTTCTGCGCCTGCGCGACCGGAAAATTCGCGAAGCTTCCTGAAGCCGAGCCGGTCGTTTCCGGAAGCCGGTAGCCGCCGGGCCATCAGACCGCTGCTTGCTACCGGGGAGCTGTAGCCTCGCTGTGTGTGCAGTCCTGGGTGACTGGGCCGTGCCGGTAACGGCGGGAAAGAAAATGGCCTTGCTTTGCTACAACCGGGGCTGCGGCCAGCGCTTCGACCCCGAGACCAACTCCGACGGTGAGGGACGCGCGCCCCCCTCCTCTCCCCCCTCTCTCCCCCCGTCCCCCCTCCCCCCTCTTCCCCCCGCACCTCCCGCCCCCCCCACCTCCCGCCCCCCTCGCCCCCCCTCCTCTCCCCCGCCCCCCCTTCTCCCCGCCCCGGCGGCTCGGGAGACCCCGGGGCCGCGCCCACGTGCTCGCGCCCCTCGGCGCCGCGCCGACCCCCGCCCGGGGACGACGCGGGGTGCGGCGGGGTCGGGGCGGCCCGGCGTGTCCCGGGCAGACGTCTCTCGCCCCGTTTTAAAGACGGTCGTGGTGAGGGAAGTGAGCGGGTTCCTTTATGCCTCGCGGCGCGGCGCAGCGTCCACAGCCATCTCGCGTGAGGTGACCCCTCTGCGCGTCTTTGAGCACCGCGCCCGCGAGTGTCCCTAGGCCACCTGAGTCCAGCCCAGGGCGGGGAGCGAGTGGGCGACCGCGCCAGGTGGGCGATGGGAGGTCACAGCGGACTCGTGCTCACGGGTGAATGGATGGAGTGTGTGCCAAGTGACACAACTTTCCCAAAGTCACCGAGCCGGGCCGTGGTGTGTCACCTGGTCATCCGACTTGACCTTCCCAGCAGCCTGCGATGTGTGCATGGCAGAGCCCTCGGAGAGCAGCCTCTCACCTCTGGGGACTTGAAGGAGAAAACAAATCTAGTTCAGGCCATACCTGTTACTGTCGCTGACGTTTTTATGATATGAGTAAGATACCACTCGGGGACAAATTGAGACATGAAGCACTTTAAAGCCCTTTGGTGTTGGTGGTCTGTATAAAAAATCAATTGCCTTGGTATGCACATGTGTTTTAATATAACACTCAGGAAAATACTGATGCTTTGTTGGATGGGACGATATTTTTAGGGTATTATATTGGGTCCAAAGTTGAAGGGAGATTAGAGCCATTTGGGAAGTGAGCGTATAAAATGGTGCAGTGCCCAGAAGAGAAAGAAGGTGAGGCCAGGGTAACCACAGCAGGAAACCCGTCTCTGGGGTTGGGTGGTCAGCAATCTCAGACAAAGCAGGGAACTCCAAGAAGGTCATTCAAAGTTTATTCATTTCGGAAAAGTAAATAAAAGGAATTATTTTAGACGCTTAGACTAGCTATGTCAAGCAAATAGGTTGAGTGAATGGAAAATGAAGAAGACGGAGATACGGAGAAGACAGCTAATAGCAAACTGTGGACTTGGCTAGAGAGGTTTGACCTTGTATATTGACTAAAGTAACAAGGAGTTAAAAGTTGAAGGTGTCAATCTACAAGTTCTGTTTTGCATGGAATGGAGCTTCATGCTCCCTATCTTGGTGGCATGATAGAATTACCATGCTTATTTACTTATTTCATTTCCTTATGATTTTTTTCCCTGTAAACAGAAATTAAACTCTCTTCTATAATACATTTTCATTTGTAATACAACTGTTTTACAGGAAGCATGGTTGGTAATTTGCGTATGTTAAACACTCCAGAAGCAGCACAGCTTAAACAGTACATTATTTAATCCACACATAAGAGACAACTGAAGCAGCTACTAGTGACAAAGTGCCCTTGGCACTCAGTTACCACAGTGTTGTTGCTTTTCACCAATAATACACTGAGCAAAACTGTTCAGCCTGATAAAGGCTAGAGAAGATGTCCATCTGCTTGCCGTGTGCAGTGATTTTCAAATGTTGTTCATGCTAGTTATATGGTTAAGATCTGACTGGCTCTTGCCACCTTTTTGCCAAAAATAACCACTTTTAGGACTGTTTTGTACCCCAGTTTTATACATTGTACACTTTATTCCTGTGACTATGTTAAATCTAGTTATTAGCTAACACTGTATCCTCTACTTTTATTTCCATCTCAACTTCATGTCCTTGCATATACATTTCTACATTCAACCTGTTTTTATCAGCTCTCAATTCCATTACCATGAGTTTACTTGCTGTTCTAGGAAAATACCTAACACTTTATTATTATTATATTAGCTAATTTAGTAACTGTATAACACATGGTCACTAAGTAAGGAAGTAATAATACTGACTTAATACAGGGTAGGGAGATTTCTCTGAGTTCTAGGAATTAATCACTTGAAGGCAAAACCAAGAATCAGGCTATAAAGAATTAAGTTACACAGACTTGAGCAGTTGATTTGATGTAGATTTGTAAGAAATTTTCAGGAACGTGGAGCTGACCTTTTTTCTCTGGGCTTTAACTATCTTTTTCCTGATTTTTAAAAACAAAATATTCCACATTGCTAATTATAATGAACTTATTTTAAAGAGAGAAGTTAAGTAAGTTAAAATTGATGGTGTAATGAGGAGGGAAAAGCGAAGTGAAGAAGGATGATCAGTGTCAATCCTGAAAATGAACTGTAGAGTTTGGACTCTTTAATGAGGTTTGTACCTAGAAACTGATCCTTTCTAGGAACGTTGTATTAGCAATTAGATGTTACAGCAATTTTTAGAATGGGAGTCTCAGGCAGCTTTTATAAATCAGTGCACATAAGCATCCGCAAAAATTCTGGGAATTTGCTTTCCTTTACAACCATTTGGTTTTTTTCTTATTGTACCTTTTTCTTTCTTTTTTCTCCCTAGACTGAACTTTCACCTATTAATTTTAATGAGAGTTAAAATGTCAAACTCTTAGGGCTCAAAGTTTCAGTACTAAACAAATTTTAGTTTTGAAAGATTGAAGGAATATAGCAGATAATTGTTATTCTTGCACTGTCCTGTATTTTTATCTAGTGTCGTATTTTTGAATTTGAGTTTTGACTTAAGGCCGTTCGTATTGTGCATCAAACACAAGTATTAGTGAATTTTTAAGGAAAAAGATTGAATCTTAAGGCCTGAAGGAAGTAGTGTTGTATCATTCCTCTTCTTTTAAGGAGTTGTGTGTTTTTTTCTTTCTATTTTTTGACCAGATGCTTGCACATATCACCCGGGTGTTCCAGTCTTTCATGATGCTCTGAAGGTAGGAACTGGATTATATTTCCATTTTTTTCGTATTTATTTGTATGGTAAATTTAGAGTATATTAAATCTGTGTTTTCTCATCTCTTTTTCTTGGGCTATGAGATTTTGCTTCCTTAATGATCATTTCAGGGTGCTTTTAGCATGTATTCCACTAAAGGCAAAGATGAGTGTATGGGTGAGGAGGTGGGCCAAACAGTGTATACACATGAGTAAATATAAAAATGATTAAAAAAAAGGTAGATGGTGATACTTCCTAGTTATAAAATTATTTTGTTTCCATTCCAAATCAGTTTCCTAATGATTCTTCACTTCCTGATTTTGAAGGGAAATTGAAGCAGTTATATTGAATCTTGGTCTTAAGTCTGTCACTTTTGCCTAATAAAACAGCTGTGATATTAGGGTGATTGTTGTAAATATTTGATGGTGCCAATTTCATGGTGGACATTATTTTAGAATACCTTTACTGAAGAGGGATGTTATGGGTTTTGTGTATGTTTCATTGATGTTCTGAAATGTTTTTGACCAAGTTTTTGATGATCTTTTAAGAAGATTCATGATGATAGGGTAAAAATGAAAAAGTTTCCTTTGGCTATCAAAAGAAAGTGCTGTAGTGGGTTGCCATGGTCTTAGATACTTATATTTTTGTTCTCAGGAACTTAAACAGTCTTATGTCTAAATATTACCACCATTTGAATTTTCAGAGAGTAGTTTGACTCTTGGCATTTAACTGATATACAATCAGCTGTAAATAAAGTTGTGCAGTAAGTAACAGTTTATGTTAGTTTGCTTAGTTCTGAGTAAGGAAAATAACATTCAATAGGGCCTTTAGAGATCTGATTCCTGTTTACATCTTTTTAGCCTCTTTACAGACTTTATGACACTGATTTTATAGTGATGTTTCTTTTCTCTTGGGGGGAATTTTCTCTTTTCTGCACTAGCATTTATTCATTATTTTTCATACTTTACCTTTTTCTTTTTTTTTTGTTCCCCCCTCCCAATTCTTTGTCCTATCTCCCAGCCATATGTGGACACTTCTCAGACTTTAGCTTCCCATTTTCTCTTTCTAATATGTTCATTTGTTTGTGTTCTCAAATATCACCTCTATACCAATGATTCTTACATCATATTTCCATTTTTGTGTCTCCTTGGCAACATCAAGCTAGTTTCTAAAGTTAAGTATTCATTCTTTTCACTTCTGCAGTTCTTCTGTTTTTTTATTGTTGCTATTCTGTAAACATTTCTTGTAGAACTAGACTTTCTAAGACTGTTGACTTTCATAGCTCAGTGAATTTCAGATGAAACATGTACACCAGTATAAGATCACCACTTTTCTATTTGATTAAGAAGTTAAACTTATATTAACAAAGGAAAAGTTGGTTCATCTATACTTCAGTTCATAGTAAGAGTGAATTAAATTTTAAAATCAAGAATACTTTGAGTTATAAGATACTTAATTTTCCTTAAAAGAACAAAAAAGAAAACTGTATGTGTATATTGTATTAAAAAAAAATCACCACCAAATTTTTATTGTAGTATAATGAGAAACAGTGAAGCCCAAGAGGATATATATACGATGTTGGTCCTTAATCTGAATTTGTGCCCCAGAACCCCTGTATTTCTGTTCCCTTATTCTGTATAGTATACTGTAACTTAAGAAAATAACTTACAGCCAGGTTTTGGTAAGCAACTTGATAGTTTGTTCAAAAATGACTATTTTTTAGTACAGTTTCTGTACTTTATGTGTCTGGCTGAAAGGATCACATCACCTTCAAAGATGGATGGATGCCTAAGCTGTTGTGTTAATCAGCCTGTGGTTTTCTGAAAAAAGAGTATTACTTTTGAGCTACAAAAGATTTTGTAGCTAGATTAATTATAATTAATTTAGAAACTAGATTAATTACAATTGTTCTTAATAAAGTTTTTAAAGTTAGATACATTCACCTACTCCCAGATCCTTTAAATGTGTGTTATTTTTGTGGTGCAGGGTAATGAATTTAGTGTCTTGCAAACATTCTACCACTGAGCTGCATCCCCAACTCAAATAATACTATATTTTTATAATTTCTAAGATTTTTTCTATACCTCCTGTGTAGCTAGGATCACAGATGAGCAAGACCCAGCCAAATATTATCTTAAACAGAAGCAATTTCTGTTTTGTTTTTTCTTTTTCTTCTCTTTTTTTTTTTTTTTTTTTGGCAGTACTCAGGGTTTGAACTCAGGACCTCATGCTTGCTAAGCCGGCACTATTATCACTTGAGCCATTGCACCAGCATCTATTTTTTCTCTTTTGAGGTGCTGCATTTAAAATTTTTTTTGCAATACTGGGGCTTGAACTCAGGGCCTGCACCTTGAGCCACTCCACCAGCCCTTTTTTTTGTGATGGGTTTTTCAGGACAGGGTCTCTCGAACTGTTTTGTCAGGCTGACTTTGAACCGTGATCCTCCTGATCTCTGCACCCTGAGTAGGTAGTGGTAGGAAAAACACCGCTCACAAAGAACGCTCACAAGAACAGTCTCACGTCCATAGAGCAAAGTTTAATGGCAGGCCCAAACTGCCAGGCTAGCCAGGAAAAGATGGTGCAGCAGCTTCTCTCGGAGGGAAAGGCCTTAAGTAGCATTTGGGAGAAAGCAAGGGCTAGGGGCGGGCAAAGGGAGGTGGCAGGAGATAAGGTACAGTGGGGCTTTGTTCTGCAAGGGATGAGACCTGCTGCCAAAGCAAGGCGTAGGGGCAGGCAAAGGGAGGTGGCAGGAGATAAGAGACAGTGGGCTTTGTTCTGCAAGGGATGAGACCAGCTGCGGCTCAGGCTGCAGAATGGTGGTAAGGGGCAGTTCTTATCATTCCCCCATTTTTTCTTTAATAATGATGAGGATAGGGGCTGAGGATCAGGAATTGAGGTGAAGCATCGGTCTCTTTAGCTGCTTCCTGCTGGCAGGGGGCATTGTATGGGGCAGGATTCTCAGGCTCCTGTGTCCTGGTGGGGGCCCTCATAGCAGTCCTCTGGATGGTTTTGGAGAGGTTGATATCCCTGGAGGTACAACTGATTAAACTTTTTGATTAACAATAGCAGACATGTAGTATGATACAAAGGAGGAAGCTTAAGAATAGGAGAGCAAGAAACATAGGCATTAGGATGGGCATTGGCCAGAAGAACCACTGTGAAATGTTGTTCCCTAGACAATTTTAAGAGTTCTCCAATTTCCTTTTCCTTTTTTTTTAACTGTTCCTTGAGAGGTGCTGCCACTGGGGGATACCATTGAGCTTCACAGCACTGGGTGTCATGAGAATGACTAGATGAGGGCTGGTCCACCGAAGTCCTAATGGAGAGGGTAGATGATCCTTTTAGGAGAACAAGATCCCCTGGTTTAACAGAAATTGTTATAGGATGGGGCAGGATCTGGTCTGCATGCTCTCCAAGAAGTTCTCTGAGAAGGTTAAGGTAAGGCAGGTAGTTAACCAGAGGAGCAGAGTCTGTTGGAGGCAAGTTTTCTAAGAGAAATGGGTGACCATACATTATTTAAGACCCAAATAGGAATATCAGGAGGAGCATAAAAAGGTGTCTGCTAAGGGAGTGCATACCTCGGGATCTAAATTCTGCAAAATCCTGTAACTCCCAAGAAAGCTGTAAGCTGCTTATGGTATGGGGGAAGGAAACAGAAGATTGGGTCGATGCACTCATGACTCAGGGAGTGAGTCTGTCCCTTCAAGGCCACATCTAGTTAGGTGACCTGTGGGAGGCAGGGGCTGTCAAGATTTAGGTTAAGTGTAGCACCTTTGGATAAAAGAGAGTTTTAGCTCATTTTGTACATAACTTACAAAAGTTTGTACCATATTTAGATAAAGTATAGATACAACACTGTTACAAGGTGGTAATTTAAGACACATAAGTAAAGATGTAAACAATTTTTTTGATAAAATCTTTTTGTAACGGTTTTTTGTAGATGTTACTCAGAGCAGAACAAGATAAGATAACCTTGTTATTTTATAGACATAGAGAATTTGATTTTAGTTTGACATGACCCTAAAAATCTTTTAGGCAACTCTTAGAGTATACTCAACTTTAACTTTATTACACATCAAAGCTTTTTATTACACATTTTAAAAATTTACTCAGACCTTTATATATTTGAAATAATCTTTCTTATCTAAAAACATTTTTTAACTTCTCAAAATACATTTACTACCTATCTATATCTTTTTTAGTTGTTTACTTTGTACCTTGTATTTTAAAATTAACTTTTATAAGAATTTTAAATTTATTATATGGGCTTTAGCAACTAATTAGTAGCCCTTGTTTTTTAAGAAATTTATGATAGGCATAAGGCCTTATCATTCCTCAGAGGGCTTAGGGGATATTATTTTTGGTGTGGAAATTGTGAGGGATTTTTGAGTTTTATTTGAATAGGGAGGGCTGTCCTGGCTCCCCTACACTAATCTCATCAGTCCACACTGTGGAATCTTTTTGTTCCTGAAGGAGGGGCAGCAGAAATAGCTGCCTGGGGGAAGGAGAATTTGAGTTTTTAATTGAAATAGTAAATCTTGTCCCAGCAGGGACATTGGAGTTTTAGATACTATGAGGAAAGGGTGACAGAAGAGGAGGTCTCCCAAAGAGCAGGTCAGAGGCTGGGTAAAATAGTGCTCTAGGGGCTTACCAGATTTGCCCTGAATGATAACTTCTGTCGTTGGACTGGGGACCCGGAGAGAAAGGTAAAACAGAGAAATGAGTTCTACTGTCTAGCTGGAAAATGATCTTTTTTTTTTTGTCATAATGTCTACCGTGAGGCTCCTCAACATTGATGCCAAGAAGTGGAGTGTGGACAGGGGGCCGGGACCCATCAATCCATAGGCGGTGGCACCTCGCCTTCCATCTGGAGGTGGGATCACTTAGACCTCCAGTGGTTACCCTTGCAGAGAGGGCAGGGTCCTGGTTGGGGGTGGGCTGTCTTCTGGGCTGTCCCCTCTTAAGCATTCTCTGCAGAAATGTCCTTCCTGTCCACCATGGTAGCAAACTCGAGATGTAGGCCCCAGTCAGGTGGGGGTAACAATGAGGTCATGTCTCTTGTTTTGTATCTGTTAGTAATGTCCTGGTTATAATATACAGACATGGCTAGTTGTATTAGTTAATCCAATGACTTTTCTCCTTCAGTCATAGACTGAGTTTTCTACAAATATCAGGGGCTGACTGTTAGAAATTTATCTTTGAGGAGAACCTCTCACCTGTGACTCTGGGTCCACCATGGTATGCTTTTTGATAGCATTCTTAAGATGTTGTAGAAAGGTAAGGGGATTTTCTTTAGGGGGTTGCTGTAAAGCAAAGTTGTTATTTTACATTGACATCTCACATTCTGGAGAGCAGGTCTCTGAACTGTTCTGGGCCTCAGTTTCTTCACTTGAAGAATGAGGGATCTGGTCTAGGTTAAATTACTTTCTTCCACTATGAGATGGCTGAAGTGACATTAATGACAGTTATCTTTTTGATTTTTTTTTTTTTTGATTTAGCAATGTTGGGGAATTGAACCCAGGGCTTTTGTACATGTTGGGTAGACATTTTCCCATTGAGCTACTTTCTCAGCCCCAAATATTTTTTTTTTGGTCTTTGGCTTTATGCCTGCAAAGTGGCACTCTACTGCTTGAGTTATATCCCTTTTAGTGTGGATCAGTTAAGGGGACTGTCTGTGCCCCTGTAGGTAGGTGTATTTATTTCCTCATTTTTAGGTGTCACTAGTATTGGGGCTTATTGTAAATGGTAATCATTTTTAACCTGAGTGGCCTGGGCCACACCCATTGTTTTTCTAATGAGAAAAGATTCTGGTCTAGTAGAAGGTTTGGATCACAGAGATAAAGGCTTGAATGTATTTGTCTGGGCATCAGTATAGCTGTCCAGATGTTTTTAAATTTTCCTTAGATCTGATAACTGGAAGGGACATAAGATTTGCCCTCTCACTATCATTACCTGTTGAAGGGGGAAGCACCCATTAGGAGGTTCTGGGTATTAAGGTGGCTTAGAAGGTAGAAATTTGTGTAGGGGACCTTAATTTACTTTTTTTATTTTTATAGAAAAGGTCTAATTGGAGTATGGTATTGTAATTTAAGGAACCCTGTGAAGGCCACTTCTCTTGGTCACCAAGGCATGTTGAGGCCAGGCCTCAGTACAAAGCTTCCAACATCTACCAGCCAGAAGACTGGAAGATGCAGGTCCCATCTAGAAAGAACAATACGTTAGGATCCTGCCTTTTAGCTAACAGCAGGCAGCCTCTTTAATAAAGGCTACTTTTTAAACAAAGGAATAAATTGTCAGTAAAGTTAGAGAAGGGCATTCAGAGGGCATCCTGGGCCACTAACAGTACCATACTGTCCATTTAGAGATTTTTTGGGACTGTAACCTTGAGCTAACAATTGGCTTACAAGGGCTGGGTCTGGTGCTCCGAGGTGTGAGGTGGGGCTGGGAGCAAGGCATGCTCAAGGCACTGATCCCCTACACACACACACACACACACACCCCCCAAAGCCTGACTGCCTAGGCCTGATCCTGCGGCCTGTCGCCCCTCCCTGCTTCCTGTGTACTCTGCACGTGTTTATTCTAGGGGAAGTGGCGATGGGCTGCAGCCATCGCCATGTGTGGCGACCCAGGATGTGCTGGGTCCTCTATGGATTTTCTTAGCTACGGCAGGTATTTTTGCTGTGTCCAGGAGCCAGCATCCCTGTGCATGCGCGCACCTGTTTGTTTTCCCTCCTCCCCTTGTGGGGGCAGAGTTACGGCATGAGCATGGCAGCCGCAAGTTTTTGTAAGTGTTTTTGTAAAGCGGCTGACTTAAAGTTATTTTAGACTGAGGGGCCTGGCAAACTAGTTGGAATAACTTAAGTCATAAGGTACCATGCTACAAGTTTTTCATGGGAGGCAGGGTCCCAGTAAGCCCAGGGAGGGGAAGGCAGACAGAGACAAAGGACATGCGGTGAGACCATGGAGGAAGCAGAAAAGGTGTGCTGACATCTTAGTTAAGGGAGGGGAAGACAGAGCCTGGAGACATGAAACGCCTGATGGATTAGCCATCACCTGTTCCTCTAGGTTGCTCCCATTGACTGGTACTGGAATGCTTTCAGCAAAATGAGACCTCCATTCTCAGGTCGCTGTCTCAGGAAAAAGGGACATTAGATGGGGGAGGGAGGGACAAGCAGTCATCAGATAATCAAACAGGACTCCCACAGTGTAGCATGAGGCATACCTGAATAAACCCCAAGCTTGGTCTCAGCCCACAGGGAGGGAGCACGAGCTCCCCAGAGCTGGAATCGCCTTGAGGCCAGAGTTGGCAAGGAGTGGCTGGTTTAACACCATGATGGAAAGTCCCTCAGGAAGATAGGAAGAGACAGGCATGGTAAGCAGTGCAAGAAGTCTGTTTACATGGGGAAGGAGGAGGTTCAGGAGAGGAATTGGTTGATTTAGAAACTGGTTTACAGGCCAATAGAATCTGCACAGGGGAACAGAAAGTACAGAAAGAGGGTTTGGTGCAGAGATAGGGAAAGGAATGGACGTAGGAAAGTTCCTTCCATTTACCAGTGCATTCGCAGAAGTAATAGAGATCCCTGAGAATGTTATGGTCAAGTGTGCCGTTAAGTAGCCATTTTGAGTCATTGTCCAATTGGATTGTGGCCAAGCCTGATTGGAAAGAAAAATGAGTTTTTGGGCTTTGAGATCAGGTGAGAGCTGTAAGGGCTCGAGGTTGGCCAGTAGGCAGCCCAGAGGAGTGTCTGAGGGAATTTTGGAAGGTCCAGTCCCCATGGTGAGACCCGGTCCGAGGAAGAATATGGTGGGCGTCCCCAATATATTTCTTTCCTGGATGAAACAGAGGAGTGGAGTACCTCAAGGGAACATCTTCACTGAGAGGATCATCTACGCCACAGGAACCCGGTTCCTGGGGGGGAGTGAGCCCTGGACCTAGTACTAGAATTTTGACCAACTGAGAGAGAGAGAGAACCACGACATGGCACGACAGCGTGAGGGAACTCACCAAGGGAGGACTGAGGAAATCAACTGGTGGTGTGCGAGTAATGGGAGAGCACTGGCCTTGAGGAGGTTCCCTGTGAGTGAGAGTAGCGATGGTGGCACTAGTCTGGGGTCAGGGGTCCTGGCAAAGCAGCTTAAATCCCAGTAAGTTTATCCAGGCTTAAGGAAGGCATCTCCCACCTATGTGGCTTTGACTGGCCAGTATAACCTCCCTGGCCAAACACCCCTGTATAGGGATGTCTGCCTTGTGGCCAAAGTCCACTTGGGAGCACAGAGTGTATCAGGAGGGCTTGAATTTACTGACCAGGAGAGCAAGATCGATGCTGGAAGCTCACCTGAATCCAAGTCACAGCACCAAAATGTTAGGAAAAATGCTGCTCACAAAGAATGTTTACAAGAAAAGTCTCACGTCCATAAAGCAAAGTTTAATGGCAGGCCCAAACTGCCAGGCTGTCAGGGAAAAGATGGTGCAGCAGCATTTGGGAAGAAGCAAGGGCTAGGGGCGGGCAAAGGGAGGTGGGAGGAGATAAGGGACAGTGGGGCTTTGTTCTGCAAGGGATTCAACCATCTGCGGCTCAGGCTGCAGAATGGTGGCAAGGGGCAGGTCTTATCATGTAGGATTACAGGCATGAGCCACCAGTGCCCAGCGAGGTGCTGCTTTTGATTACAGGCCACAAACAATTATTTCATTTTAACATTGGGTAAATTTTTAAAATCAAACAAAAATTATCTCATTTGGTCAGGAAAACTATTCACAGTACTTTAAAACTAAAATCTTATATATATGGAACTTGCTTCATGGTTCCAGGAAATAACTGCCAAGAATATTTTAGTGGTTCATAGTTCTTAATGAAATGCAGTTTTCAGAGGTTTTTTGTTTTATAGGGTTGGTCTTGCTGTAAGAGAAGAACAACTGATTTTTCTGATTTCTTAAGCATTGTAGTAAGTACTATTTTTTTCTTGACTGTCTCTCTAAAAGTGCATATTACAGGAAACTTCCAGTTAGAGGAGTCTGATTTCTGATTTATTGATTGATCCTCATCAGCTATCAGATATTAACTTACTATTAAAATGGAGTTTATCTGCTTTCTCATGTCTGCCTTGGAGATTAAAGTTTTAAGAATGTAATTGCTCATTTGTCATTTTAGCTTGTTGATTTTATTGGTTTTGTAAAAAGCAGTAAGAACTGGCAGACAGCAACACATTTTCAGTTAGGAATAAATTTTTTATCAAGTCTGTGTTAACCATTGAATTACACCTTTATTTTATATACCATTAACTGTTACCATTTCCATTTTATAGCTGGAGAAACAGTTTTAAGTGATTATCTTTCTCAAGGTCATAGCTACTAAGTAGTAGAATTGGTGTTCAGGTGTAAACCTTTTTGAGTAAAGAACTTTTGTATATAAAGAATTTGTAAAGGCTTTTTGAAAAAGTCTTGAAAAGCATTTTAAAAAGCATGAGAGTTAAAAACTCATGAATAATGGCGAATTTGGATTCCCACTTTTACTTTCTTTTAATAATCAACATTATGAAAGTATTTCTTACCATGTCATATAAGTACATGATAGGATAGTTCATAATGAATACCTTTTACTAACAGGGTTGTACAAAAGGTAGGCATAATAGTGAGAAGCCACCCGAGCCAGTCAAGCCTGAAGTCAAGACTACTGAGAAGAAAGAACTCTCTGAATTGAAACCCAAATTTCAGGAGCACATTATTCAAGCCCCTAAACCAGTGGAAGCAATAAAAAGGCCAAGGTATACTCTACGTAGATGCTTATATTTGTCATAATTGAGTAATAGCATTTATTCATGATATTTTTATCATCTTGTATAAGCATTTAAGCTACTGTATAGGTTATTTTTCACTTAGATAAGTCTTTAACTTTTTTATTCCCCCTCAGCACATACTTAAAAATGTCATTGTAGATTTTCTTATTGTGCCATCATGATTACAGTGCATACTTCACGAGGGTGGGGAAGTCACATCATGGCTGTTGAAGTGCTGTGAAGGAGTTGTCCTTCATGAATTTTATACTCAGAAATAATTGACAACCCCTTGAAGTTCTTACTCACACTATGAACTTAGTGTTTCCAACTTTTTCCTTTATTCTTAAATAAATTTATAGAGTATTAAATAATAGAGGACAAAGATAAGAACCCTAAGAGAGTTTGGTATTTGTTAGGTTATTAACATTCTGAGTTACAGTCACAGGTCATTGTTAAGGAAACTACTCAAAATGGTTTTGTCGGTCTCCAGGTATTCTTTAGAGACTTACCAAATAAACTTCTTGTCCTATTAAGAAAATATTGAAGAAAGATAAGAATTCTATCATAGCTCTTAGTGTCTTCTGTTACTGTAGAATCTACTGTAAAAAGCATAATAACTGTAAGTTAAGATTGCTTTCTTTACATGATAGACTACTAATAGTTTTACTTAAGAGTCAGTAAGAGAAATTAAACATTTTATCTTTTTTTTGTTTGAGGTAGGGTCTCGCTTTGTAGCTCAGCTGTCCTGAAATTTGATGTTGTAGCCCAGGCTGGCTTTGGAACTTGTGATTTTCCTGCCTCAGCCAGGTGCTGGGAGGTGTTGGCTGTGCATCACTACCCACAGCTCTAAATATTTTATCTTAAATTCATTTGATGGTGATTTTGAGATACACGTTTTTATGTGCTTTGTTAATACCAGTTTTTCATTGAATGTAGTATAAGTAACTTAGGATTCTTACTGTCATAGCTGCATTTATTAATACTCTTAATACTGATTTGTTCAATAGACTTAGACAAATTGTACATTCAAAACTTAACCATTATGAATATTAAAGGATGTTCTTACTTTTTAGTCCCACAGAAATTGCCTTGCATACAATTGTATCTGAATTTATAGATCCATTTACCAGTTGTCCACATAAAATAAATTATCTCAACTAGTAGGAATGAATAGGGTAGGGATTCATTAGTGCATTCTTCTTGCCTATTGGGTATGTGTTCAGTATTTTGCTTGGGCATGGAATGTAAAAGTATTTTATGGTCCTTCCTCAGAAAAACTTGGATGCCTTGTTTTTACTCCCTCCCGTTAACCCTAGTAATAATTGAATATGTACTGGCATATGAGACATACAAGAGCTTTTTTTTTGTTAAAATGTAAAATGTAGGTAGATTATAACAACTCTCTTTTCATAAAGAAGGTTTTGACATTATTTTTAGGTACAAAGAAATATTTTGGTATGTTAATAATAATAATAAGATTTCAAAATTCAACAGCCCAGATGAACCAATGACAAATTTGGAGTTAAAAATATCTGCTTCCCTAAAACAAGCACTGGATAAACTTAAACTGTCAACAGGGAATGAAGAAGATAAGAAAGGTAAGTGTTTGTTTTATGTTAATTTCTTTCTATGTAAGTAAGCAGTCATTTAAAACAATTAGCAGTAGTTTATTGACTATAAGGATGAAAATGTAGCACCTTGTGGTAAAGAGCTTGGTTTTTTTCTGCTAGAATGCCAGAGAACGAATGTTCTCTGAATGTGTGATTCATTCCAATAAGTCTGTATTGAAAATGAAAATCTGCTAAAATGTTTTTCTTTTCTGGTATATTTTTTATTGTTTTGGTAGGACTGCAGTTTGAACTCAGGGGTTTGCACATGCAATGCAGGCACTCTGCCATGTGAGCCACGCCTCTAGTCCATTTTTCTCTGGTTACCTGGGAGATGCGATCTCACAAACTGTTTACTTGTGCTGACCTTGAACCACAGTCCTCCTGATCTCAGTCTGCCAAGTAGCTAGGATTACTGGTATGATAATCAATAATTGAAAATGACAAATTTCTTTGATGATTGAAAATATTTCTTAATGTTAAATATACATAATATTCTCTGACCTATGCCTGATACCTTGGGATGGAAACACCCTTTCAGGATTTCTCTTTTATGAGATAATGCTATTGGATAAAACATTGTATTATACAATAGAAATATGGTATAGGGCTAGCAAAATGGCTCAAGCATAAGAGTGCCTGCCTAGCATGTGTGAGGCCCTGAGTTCAAAACCAGTGCTGCCGAAAGAAAAAAAAGATAGTGTATATTAGTATATACCATTTTGGGGGATTCAGGTAAGACAAAGCCTTATTAAAGTAGTTGGCTTTTTTATAAGACTTATTTTATAGAAAAGTTACTTTTTAAGAGTATCACTACAATGAAGTTATATTGTGATGCTTTAATTTGGTTGTTTTTTCCTTTGTTTCAAATACGACAATTATGACATTTAATCTGATTTTTTTTTTCTTCATTGTAGAAGAAGACAGTGATGAAATTAAGATTGGGACATCATGTAAAAATGGAGGGTGTTCAAAGGTACATACAAGAACTTGTGTTTTAATTTTGAAGCAGAGAAAGTGCAGTTCACTCAAGATAAGCTGATACTGCAGTGCCTATTGTAGGTGGGGCTCTATGTTGAAGACTAGGGCTACAAACATGGATAAGAAACTGAGAAAACACTAGAGTCTGATAATTGTGGGAATATATCTAATTTAGTCAGCATTTATTTATGTGCTAGATATTGTCTTAGAGGCTGGGGATAGTAGTATCAAATAAAATCTGTTCCTGGGGACCAGATTCTTCTAGTAGGGTCAGGACAACAAACAGGCAATTAAATACTATGAATTCAGCAGACATAAACCAAATAAAGCACACTAAGGACCTAGAACGGTCAGGTTGAGAGCCATTTAAGATAGTGAAGTTGTTTTGATGTGGTGACACTAGAGGAGAATTCCAGATAATGTAGGATGAGTTGTGAACCTGGAGGGAAGAGCTATAGATAGAGGGAGCAACAAGAGTAGAGAGAGCTTGGCGATTCCGGGAGTACCAGGTCAGTGGAGCTTGGGCAAAAGTAGTGCATGAAGAAGTAGACAAGGTTATGGAGGTCCTGTGAACCATGATTGATGGGTTGATCTTTCTTCTAAGTATAATAATAAGACATTACCTGTTCTAGGGAGGGTTGGGGTTTTTTGTTTTGAAATAGGCTTTCACTGTGTAATTCAGGCTAGCCTCTTAACTTGCTATATCTCCTAGGCTGCCTCCAACTCTTGATCCTCCTGCCTCAGCCTCCACAGTGCTGGGATTACAGTGTGAACCACCATGTCCAACTTGAGGATAGTTAAAAAGATTTCTTTGGAGAATAGGAACTACGTGCTGATGGAACATGAGTAGAATTGAAGGAAAAGAGGAAACAACTTGGATGCTATTGTGGAAGACCAGGCTGTGGGATTGGAGACTAGAAGTTTATTGAGAAGTGATTAAATATGGGATATAACAGATTTTCATGAGACCTCTCCTGCCTACTCTGCTTACATATCCTCCAACATTTCCTCTCTCCCTCTCCTTCCCCCGCCATGGCACCTTTAGCCTTATTTGACTCATTTTGCTACCAACTACCCCATCCCCCATCATAAGGTTTATAATAGTAGCATTTGGTTTTGTTCTTTGTTGTATCTTGAATGTTTAGAATAATGTCCAACACATAGCAAATACACGTAAAATGAATTGTATAATTTGGAAGTATTGTCGAGCCTTCTTTGGGTTATATATGCATGGAATTTTGGCTGTAGCATCCAGGTGACTGGTGGTGACATGAACTGAGAAAGGAAAGATGGGTGGGCACAGGTTTTTAGGTTTTTCTCCTGTTCAGTTTGAGATTACCTTGCATATTAGGGGATGGAAATATGAGTATATTCACATGTATATGAGAGACGTGTAGATAAAAGGGAATAATTAATACTGATTGAGAAAATGCAAATAGAGTAATGGATGAGGGTCAAAGAGAAGTCATCAGATGAGTTTTGAAAAATGAATGACAGTTCTCAAAATGACAAAGAAGGAAATTATTCCTAGTAGAGGTCATAGCAGTAGAATAAAGAAAACAGTAGTCAGTAAGAATACTGTAGGATTTGCTAGAATTGAAATTGAAAGAGATAAGTGGCAGGCAAATCTCATAGTCTTTAGTAGTGTTGTGAAGTTAAATCATACTTTAGATTATGCAGGCCATGAAAGAAACTTTTAATCTTTTTTCATTGAAATAAAACTTGGAGATTTGTTGAAACATGTACAAATTCAAGTTTATAGGTAAGGGACTTTCACAGCACTCACATAAGTATTGTAGAGCCCTATGCCTCTTACAGTGTAATTTTCCCTACCCCAAATGTAGCCCCATTTTTCTGTTAATCTCGAATATTTTTGTCTGTAAATTTAATGTAATTGGAATCATAGAAATGAACTTCTTGTGTTTATCCTCTTTTGCTTATTAGGTTTATTTTTGTTGGATTGTAAATGTGGTTTCCCTTTTAATTGTTTTAAGGTATGCTGTTGTTCAGATGTGCTAGTTAATTTTTTCTTTCTGATGTCCTTTAAGGATTTGCTTTGTTTTGTTTTTATAGTACTGAGGTTTTAAACACAGGGCCTTAAGCTTACTAGGCATGTCATTACTAGGCTCTGTCATTTGAGCCATGCCGCCAGCCCTTTTTGCTTTCTTTATTTTTGGTGTACTGCTTGTGTTTTTGTTGCACCAGAATCATCCCAGTTATGCTTCCCACATACAACAGGCAAGGGCCAGCCACCATGCCTAATGTGATTGGTTGAGATGGGTCTAAGTTTTTGCCTGGCTGACTTTAAACTAAGATCCTTCCCAATCTCTGCCCCCTAAGTACCTGGGATTGTAGGCAGTAGACATGTGCCCAGCTCTTAGTTTTTTGTATAGTGCTATGAACATTTATATATGTGACTTTTAGAATAGGTTCACATTTCTATTGGTTATGTTACTTAACATTTTTGTCAGCAGTGCATCAGTGTATGACGCTGAATTCACTTGTCCGAGTTTTGGTCACACTTTGTGTATCAGTCTTTTGGTTGGGTAGTGTTCTTGTGGTTTTCATTTGTACTTTCTTGATGGGGAGGTTAAGTGCCCTTTTGTATGTTTACTACCCAGTTCTGTAACCTCTAGGCTAAAATGTCCAAAATATCTTCCCTATCTTTCTGACGTTGTCTTTTTGCTACTGATTTGTAGGAATTCTTTATTTTACCTACAAGTCCCTTGTTACAGAGATTGTGCTTTTTTACACTGTCCTAATGATGGCTTCGATAAACAGGAACACTTCAGTTTTCATGAAATACATTTCCTTTATGAGTAGTGCTTTTTATGTCTTACTAAAGAAGTATGTATTTCCATGCCATGAATTTTTTTTTTCACACAAAGGCACATTTAAGTATGCAAAGTGCCTGAATCTGATTGTTATATAAGGGATGAGGTACCTTATGTAATTCAAGGACTTTTAAAAAAGAGTGATAGCATTTAGATAATTACAAGATCATAGAGAAGAGAAATTAAAGGGAGAGAAATGAGAAAGCAATATATTCTTATTGGCCAAAAACTGCTAGTTTATTTGTATGGTTCAAAAATTAAATTTACAGCTATTTCCAGGTCAAATTTATAGAATTTCATAATAAACTACATATAGGTAGACAGATAAAAAACTGGAGAGGACCATAGGATTTTGCTTTGAACCACTGAGTGGATATGGTACCATCAAATAAGATGGGAAGAAGAGAATTAGGGGGATGTAGTGATTCCATTCAGAATCTAACAAACTGGGATTTATATATTCATGCAGTATCTTTAGGAGATACACACTGTTAGTACTTTGGACTTGAAAGCAGCCCCACCAAATTTTATTTTCTATAATTTCAGTGACTATGAATACAAAAATTTTCTACTGGCCGCATCCATGTTTTGATTAACATAACTTTTTGTGAATTCATCTGTAGAGCTTAATTTACCTACATCAGCTGTGGGGCCAAGATCTTCCAGACAGCTCGTTTTACCATTTGTAGGATAAAAAATCACCATCACTGTAAACTTTCCAAATTGCCTGTTAGACTTCCCATAATTGGTACTGCCCAAAGAGTTTACTATGCACATAAATCATGCTGTAGCTGCGATCTTTTAGAGTACTCATCCCTTGATTTCAACATGCTTCTGTTTCTGTTTATCTAGATGCCTGAAAATGGTGAATGGACCTCAGACCCAAAAGGCTGAAAGCACCTTAATTTACAGTCTGTGGCCGCCTTTTCCATTTGCCTTTCTTGCAGGGACTTGAAATTTAACCATGTCCAAAGGGGATCAGTTTTCATTCCTTAATGGAATGGCCTGAACTGAACCTATCAGTGTTCTAGGTAGCTGTTGTTATTTCTTTGCTGTTTTGCAAAGTTCATAAGGGTAACCAGGACTACAGATATGGATGAGATGTAACTGACAGATACACAGCTAAATTTTTTTCTCTTTATTTTTCTTTTTCAGACATACCAAGGTCTACAAAGTTTAGAAGAAGTCTGTGTATATCATTCAGGAGTACCTATTTTCCATGAGGGGTAACTTATGCTTGATTAATTAAAATACTTTACAGTAGAGGTTAAAAATGTTAAGTCTTTATATTTTTAATCGTTTATCATGCAGTATTATTTACCTACATTGTCATATAATCTTTATAGTAAAATGGGATTTTCTTCTTTTAATACCAAAAAAAGCTAGGTTATAGTCATTAAGTGGCTATAGTGACTCAAATCTTACATTTTTCATTTTATGCTCTATTTCAATGTGACTCTTTTTTTTTTTCCCTGAGGCAGTGTCTCATGAAGTTGCACAGACTAAACTCAAATCTGTAACTGTCAGGCCTTAGCCTCTCGAGTAGTTGGGGTGATAGGTGTGCACAACTGTGCTCAGCCTAAATTCATTTTTTGTTTGAAAGACTGTCTTACATATTAAAGGATATTTATATATTTTCGTCCTGGGGCAGTTAAGGTACCAAAGTCCAGAAGAACTGCTACTTTTCCATAGCGTTCACTCAGCAGGTTATTTTACATTATGATGTAGTTCAATAAACGGTACCATATGAAAATCTCCCACTGTTTCCATATGCTTCAAGACTCAAATACAGAATTCTTTCTGCTGCAATTGTTAGACTCTTGTGTCCAATTGTTCTGAAGTAAATAATAGTAGTTTCACTTACTTTGACTATCTCAGGTATGTAAACACTAGGTTTTGTTATAAATCTTTCATTTTTTTGGTAGAAGTCATTTCACTTTTTGGTAGCTTCATGGGAAAATCCGAGTGTGACCTGACAGTGAAAAGCTGAATAGGAATTTGTTGATGTTTTTTTCAGGTCTTTACTCAAGAGCTCCAACATCGCTATAATAAATAGCACTGGCTTTTAAGTTATTAGTCTTCCTGATGTGTATCCATTTTTAACTGCTTGGTAATTTAAACACTTGTAAGATACTACAGTTAAAGTTGTTTACTTTTTTAAAAATTTCATGTCACTATAATACTTCTGGGTTTAATTAAGAGTTTAATTCTGAAATTTTTTTTATAATAATTTAAAGGATGAAATACTGGAGCTGTTGTAGAAGAAAAACTTCTGATTTTAATACATTCTTAGCCCAAGAAGGCTGCACAACAGGGAAACATATGTGGACTAAAAAGGATGCTGTAAGTAAACTTTTCCAAGTAACAAACTGAGTTGTATTCATTTAAGTCTTGAAGAAATCTGAGGTGAATATCTTTCACATTTTAAAAAAATTCTCCATCACACAGTAAAGCATTGACATGCCTGCAAAACAAAATTAACCTGAATCAAGCTCTTAAACTGCATTCAAAATAGTCATTGTGTTTGTTGGCACTGGTTTGTGGAGTTTTGTGAAATATTTAAGTATGCCCAAATTGAAATATCTTTCTTTTAATTATTAAAATTAGCATCACAGCATGTTTCTAATTTTTAAAAATTACTAATTTGATGTAATTAAACTAAAATTTAGAACTTTGAATGTGTTTTAGCCACTTAAGTTCAGCCTCTTCTACTGGCAGAAATCTGCCATCTAGCGTCCAGCAAGGAAGATTGTAGGGTTGTTTCAGTGGAATTGTTTTGAATGTCCCAAAAGAATGAGTTCCTACTTCTTTGAACAGGGTTAGTTTTATTGTTGCTTTTTGTTTGGAGGTACTGGGGTTTGAACTCAGGGCCTCATGCTATCACTAGAACACCCCCTGCGAGCACTTGTTTTGTTTTTTAGTATTGTAAAGTTCTTCCAATTAAAAACTAATTAAACAGATACTGTTCCCCTTAGTTTCATTACAGCCAAGTGATACAATGAGATAATGAAAGAAATGTCCCTTAGCTGTTTTTAAAATAGGTTTTCTTGGACAACTTTTTAAAAAAGACTTGGCTGTGCGGATGATTCCCTAAAAAACCCTTTAAATTATAAGAAGGAAAACAATTTATTGCTAAATAAGGTTTTGTGTGTTAGCTATTACTATTTAGTAATGTGCCACTTAATTTTTGTGTTGCATTGGCACTAATGACCCCAATGCAGAAAACCTTTCTGTGAACCTAAAAGGTTCATAAAACTTACACCTTTTTAAAAAAAAATTGTAAACAATATTTGAGTGTTATATAGTTGTTGCTTTTTGTAGTCTCCCAAGTTGAAATAATTCACTAACCACAGAACTTTCAGGAATGTTTTATTAAAGTGAGGTTTGCCTATGGGTTTTGTCCAAGGTTCAGAAGCTTAAAAGTTTTAATTTGAAAAAATAAAATGATGCAGTCTATTATGTAAAAGCTTCTAGAGTATAACCCTTGGTGAAACAATGTGCTTTTTGTTGTCATTGCTTTTATGATAGTAGTTTCACAGAGTTTCCTGAATTGTGTGACTAAATATTTCTTATTTATAAAACAAATCACTTTTTAAAAAATGTATTGATGTTGGCACCATATCACTGGTACATAAAAAGTCAGTTCCACAATAGCAATCAAAGGATTACTTCTATAAATTCCCTCTTTTTTCTGCATGTTAATATAAAGGACAAGAAGATTCAGCAATAACAGAATATGGCTGTAAGTTTCCAGTTATTTTCCAAATTCCCCTGGGAATTGAATTGAAGGTTTGAAGTTGGTGTACTGTGTGGCTTATCCCACTGAACAAATGCCTTTCTCATTTCTGTTTTCAAAGAATGCTTTTGTGACAGTACTCAGTTTATTATAGAATATTAAAATTGAGTTTAGTATGGCTTCTTAAATTGTTATTTCCAATGTTTAATTACATCATGGCCCGAGGAGAGAAAAACCACATAGGAGGAATAAGCATATTCCCAAATCATAAAATTAATAAGATACTTTTTATTTTATTCTTTGAACCTCTTAAGGAACCTCAGAAGTTGGTTGCCATAAAAACCAACCAATAGTCCTCTTTTGAAAAGCTGTTTTAAACTTACAGAGTTTCTCTTATGTTACAGGGGAAAAAGGTTGTCCCGTGTAGACATGACTGGCATCAGACGGGGGGTGAAGTCACCATTTCAGTATATGCTAAAAATTCACTTCCTGAACTTAGTCGAGTAGAAGCAAATAGTACTTTGGTAAGTACACTTAGTAACTGAGTGAAGGTTGTCTTAAATACAGTAGCTTTTTGTTAATGTCTTATATAATATTCTTATTTCTATATGAAAATTTTAAATATCTTTTGTAGAACCTATTTAAATGAAAATCCCCATGAATTTTTTTTTGCAGCAATCTGAAAATTTAGTAGCTTATGAGAGCTATCATATAATACGTATTTAGTTCTCAGTGTGAAACTTCAAATCAGTTTTTCTTTTTTTAATGGTTTTCTTAAGTAAAAGCATCGCATAACATTGGCACCTTCTTACAGCTTAATTTCTATCAGTGTCTTACTTTTATAATTAGTGTTCGGTTTCATTAACCTTTAGCTGGGGTTGTATCAGTGCAGAAGATGCGTGCTTAGCACATGTGAGGCCCTAGGTTTGATCCCCAGCACCAAAATAATCGTGATAATCAGTTTTCTCTATCTTTTTTAGTTAAATGTGCACATTGTGTTTGAAGGAGAGAAGGAATTTCATCAAAATGTGAAATTATGGGGTGTAAGTATTATGCTTTCATCAAATTTTTTTTCTGATGAAGTACCATTTAAAATAGAAGATAACTGTGTAGTAAGTACTGATGGAAAGTTCAGGTGTATGATTTAACATATCTTACCAAGAAATTTTAATCTAAAAGTCAAAATAGCCTTACAAGCATGAGTCTGGGATTAACGTAAGCAAGACTGATGTTTTCCTGTGAGACTCATAAAAGCACCCCAGGTTTATTCTAATTCTGCTTCATACGTTACAGGTGATTGATGTGAAGCGAAGCTATGTAACCATGACTGCGACAAAGATTGAGATTACCATGAGGAAAGCTGAACCCATGCAGTGGGCAAGTCTTGAATTGCCTACAACCAAAAAGCAGGAAAAACAAAAAGAGAATAATGCAGATTAATGGGAAATAGAAAAACAGAGCTAATACAATTTCAGATTTCTTAGAAATGTGTGATGAATTGGTCGCTTGTTGCTGTAATCTTCTTGGTTGTTGTTTTTGAATCTGGCATTTCAGGGTCAACATGAGGTTCTTAAAAGCCAAAGTTAGTTTATCTTTCTGTGCCTCCCATCTTCTTTTTGAGTTCTGTAATACTGATTATTCATTCATTTCTCCTCACTGTTAGAACCATAGTTGGACCCCATACTTGAAGAAGCTGGATAATAGCTCATAAACACAAGTGCAGTATTTCTTAGTATATTTTGTTAAGTAGAGGAATAAAGGGACTTTTTTTTTTCTGATCTCTGTTATCCCATGATTAGGAAAGCAAGATGAAATGTCAAATTTTTAATCAGTTTTTTTCATGAAGTTTTGTTCCTATGATACTTGAAAATCTTTAAGGAAAAGATGAAGCTCTGCATTGTTTTTTCCCCATGGGATGGTTACTTTTTCTAGGAGGACTGATTCTGACATAGTGCAGTAGGTAATTAAAGGGGATATATGCATTGGCTAACAACTTAGAATTTATTTACCATTTATTTAATCTAAAATTACATCAGTTGCCTGTATTACTTGCCAGGTGGTATGATTTAAGAGAATAGGAAACATAATTAAGGTAATAGAGGTATCAGGTTGGTTAAAATTCACCATTTTATAAGACTAAGCAATAATGTTAAGAATTCTTTCCTGATTATTTAAAGGTCTTCATATGGTCGTCTGACTAAATTGTATCTGATTTACAGTCTAAACCTTTTTAATTAGTTACATATAAAAAAGAAATTATATGTATCTGGTCTCCCTGATGATAAAACTATATAAAATTGTAAAGTTAATGGTTTGTGAAAATACATGGGAAAGCTAAATGTATAAACTTTGCTTTACGACAACTGTCTATTTACATGTTAAATAAATAAGATAGCTTACTTCTTTTGGAGTTATTTTTTTAAGGCTTTCATGAAGAGCTTGACCATTTCAGTGATATGCTGTTTATTTTATATGTCTTATGTATATTAAATACAGGTGAAACAATTCAACTGTTTATGCCAATTATACCCATTAAGGTAGTGCAGAACTTGAGAAGAAAATTTAAATTTGGAAATATTATAATGGTTAAAACCGTGGCAGAACTTAATAAAATGTCTAGCTCTGTCAAAATTATAAAGACAAAACTTCTGGTAAGCAAGCTTTCATGACATGGCTGAAATTTTTTGCAGTGAAAGTTCAGTCCATTAAGTATCTAGTACTGAGAGATGTATTTAAAGATTTTACAGTTATCTTAACCTGATTTAGAAACCTAGGTTCATCTGTAAACATGAAATCTTATTTATTGTTTGGCAAAGAAGTTGATGCTTAATTTGATTTAAAATAATTACCAGACCTTTTTAATGCTTCCTTCTTGAGGCTGGTTTCTCCTGAACAGTATCTTAACTTTCTTATGATTGAACTATTTACTAAATGCAAGTTATGACTTGCCTTTCTAACTTTTTAACTTTAGACGTAGATGCAAAGCATTGATTTTTTTTCTTTTGATACTGCTATGTAGTGTAATTAACTAGTGACCATTTAATTTGTTTCTTATTCCTAAGAACCTCTGAATGTGTTGCCCATGTAATAAAGTGAATTTTACTTTAGACTCCTACATAGAGGGACAGTTGTTATTAGATTGAATGTATTTTACTCTATTAATGTTTCCAAAAATATTAATGAAAATTGCTTCTTAGCATTTTTCTGAAAATAGCATTTTTCTTTGTTAGCATTGAAAGTATTTACTGTAACAAAGCAGTCAAGCAAGTATATGATATACCAACCTTAACACAGGAAACTTAAGATGCTGTAATTCTTGCCTAGTGCATTTGCTAGTGTAAAGGAAGAAATGTTCTAAGAAATTGAGCTTCCTTTTTCAGCCTCTAACTTTGAGATACTTTTATATTTATAGAAGAATTCTAAAATGAAAAACAAGGTGCATGAGTTCTTTGTATTCTCTATTACTATGTCCCCTGTGTTAAAATCTCACATAACCTTAGGACACTTAGAAAACTCAGATTTTAACCTTGGTACAATACTGTTTACTGAAATAGAACTTTGATTTTGTTTTATTTTTATTCTTTTTGAGACAGGGTCTCCTAGCCCAGGCTGGCCTTATACTCTTGATCCTCCTGCCTCTGCCTCCAGAGTACTAGGATTACAGGTTTGTACCACCACACCCAGGAAGAACATTTAATTTTAACCATCTCTTTTTAGTAGAACACTTGAAAAGTAGGTCTTGAGACCTATCCCAATTTTCATGTATAATTTAAGCCACTAGTACAACTTAAAATCAAATGTTTACTTACAGGTTGATATTGTACCTTTTGGAAAATATATATTGATAGTACTTCATAATTTATATTTTGTGTTAGGATTTCAATTTGTTTGATTTTCTTCAGACAGTTCTTTAGCCATCAATTTTTTTTTTTAGCTGGTACTGCAGCATATGTTTACTTTATTGGTAGTTTGAAACTGTGATGATTACAATGGACTATCAGGACTATGCAAGCAGTAGCAAGCAGCCAGCTTTTTACACCATACCTTCACACAAAGCAGATAAATATCAGAATGCCTTGTTTTCTATTTAAAAAAATTCCCTAAAGACATGGCAGAAGAATTCTGGAAAAATCACTGTGGGAATATGCATAAATTTCAACCATCAAATTGAAGAGAACCTTAAAGCATTCTTGCAGATGTTCTAAGAAGCCTTTGAGTTATTGTTCCCCCAAACCCATGATTTAAAATAATCAGTCATTCCTAAGCCTGAAAATGTATGTCCTGTATCCATCCTCATCAAGTAAACCTTTCAAAACTGGTGTGTGAGATCTGGTCCATTTGGGAGCGTTTGGGTATGTACTTTGTAACTTCATTTCTTTTTAACAGCCCTGTACTTTTATCTATTGGAACAGTAATGGGTTGTTTTATCTTGTCTCATTGTAAGTGATTTTGACTTGGCATTTTCTCTGGTACTGACTTTTTTTCTTCTGCCAGTGTCAGGTTTCCATGGTCTCATTCCAAAATGCAAACTGTTCTATCCAGCTTGTTTTAAGGTTTTATTGATAGATCTTTCCTTTTAGTTTGAAAGGTGAGAGGGTGGGTTTTATCCCTGACTGCTTCCCTGCTATTCTTACACCTTAAATTCATCTGATGTTGCATGGTTTGCCTTTTTTAAATTATAGATACTCATGACTTTACATGTATAACATTATCCCTAAAATGCCAGGTTTGCAAAGTTGTCTTCTCTCTAGTCATTGCTTGATACTAGGTTTTCATAGCGTTTTTAATGTAAAGAATTCCTTCAAGAATAGTTTTCTAAAGACCATGTTTTCATTAAATTCTCATTAATGTATTTTTTTAGTTTTCCAATTTAGTGGGTCACCTTTAATGTTTAGTAGAATAAACAAACTGGCAACCTTAAACATTTTATATTGCTTAAAGATTGTATGTTACTTAATATGTCATTCTTTTTCCAAGAGCAGGCATGCTGTTCAAATGATTAGATTGTGAAACTTTTAAAAGGTTTGCTAATTACACTAAGATTAGTGATTAAGCTTGGTTAAGGAAACTGTAAGATAATTTCACCTCCTCCAGTGAAAGCATTACATAGGTATATTAATGGTTTTTATTATTATTATTTGTATGATTTAGCTAGTTACTGTCTGTGTCACCTAGTGGGCTCATGTTAACCCTGATGCTTTCTTTTGGCCACCATTGTATTCCCATCTTCCACTCTGGTATTTAGCATATTGGTTGGCTCTTGTAAATGTCTGACCCTGCAGTAATTGGGTAGGCACTATTGAAAGAATCAGAATGAAAGAATTCGGTAGGCACTATTGAAAGAATTAAAAGGAATAGGGATAATATGTATCCTACATGCCTACCCTACAAGGTTGTTTCTATTGTCACAGTACAGTGAGAAAACTACTCATGGCTCTGTGTTTATCCAGAGTTGAACCAAGTGAGTTTAGAAGTAAAGATTTCACACTTAGCCTGACTTTGCATTCTGTGCTCTTAACTTTCGTTTTTCAATTGAATGAGTAGGCTTCGTAAAACATTGGTGTATACCATGGAAAACTAATAACAGTTTGATTGCTAACCAGGAGTAAATACTTTGTTAGAAAAGAAATTTATAAAATACATAGTCCTTTTTCTTGGATGGTTTTGGTTGTAATAACATGTTAAAAACTTACTACTTGGGAATTGAGAACTCTGTTCTGTAGTTTCTGTAAAGATCCTGCAGAAAACTCACAATCCTCGGAGCAAGAAATGGTCAAAGTTTCGCCAGTTTGATTATGATGCGTGTATTAGAGATGGGAATGTGTATCTGATAAAACCTATAATGAAGCAGCAACAAACTTAACCTGTTTTCCCTATTTATGTGGGACCTAGTTTAAACAGTCACATAATTTGGGATATCCGAAAGTTATTAACATAGATGACCGCAAATAAGATTGTTAAGTAAGAGGAGCAAAGAATCATTTGAATTTTGTCTTAATTTTCTAAGCCAAGCCAGTGGTCAGAATACCATTTCTATACCAGCAATGGAAATTTGTTAGAAGTGCAAATTCTTAAACCTAAATCCAAACTGTTAAATCAGAATTTAGAAATGGGTCCCAAGAATCTGCAATTCAAGGTAGTCCTGATATAAAAAGTTCATCATAGTGTACATTATAGTAATTCAACACATGTATACAAGTGTGTATTAATCATACTATTATTTTATGTTTGAGGAAATTTGAACCCTTCTAGTTATTTTGAAGTGTACCCTGGACTGTTTTGCCCAATAATTACCCTGCCAGCTAAAGTAGAACCAGTAGTGATTATTCTTTTTCCCGCTCCCCCCCACCCCACCCCGCCCCACTCGCTGCCTTCCCCAGTCTTTAGTGATCTTGTTCCATTCCATTCTTTTACAGGGTGTCATATTGGTTTCCACAGATGAGTGAGAACATGTGATATTTATCCTTCTGTGTCTGGCATGTATCACTTAACATGTATGTTGGTGGAGATTGATCTTTTAAAGCAACTAACAGCATGGAGTTTTGATTAGACTTACCACTGCCTTTCTTTTGTTGGCTCGATTTCTTTTCAGTGAAGTTTGCTTCAGAGCAGTTTGAAATTTGTACAAAACATGGAACATATTACAGATAGTTTCCATGTACACCACACCCAGTTTCCCCTGTTAACTGATACTGCATTAGAATTAGTGAACCAATATTAGCTCATTATTATTAACTGAAGCCCATGTGTATTCAAGTTAGCATAGTTGGTACCAAATGTCTTTTCCAGTGTTCTTTGTGGGAGACATTGTAATTACTTGTCACATCTCCTTGCATTCCTCTTGGTTTTGACACTTTCTCAGTCTCAAAACCCTCAACAGTTTTCGAGTACTTAGGTGTTACAAATGTCCCTCAATTAGGATTTACTTAGTTATCTTACCTTTAAACTAATGTGCTTTGGAGAAAGAAAAAACCATAGAACCTTAGTACCATTCTTATCTAGTCATACCAAAAGTTCATTATGTAATGATGACTTTTGGTTACCTTAGGTAATGTTTGTCGGGATTTGTTTTACTGTAAAATTACTCCTCCCGCCAGTTCCTATTCTTTGGAAGGACTTGGGAACTACTTCTGTCTCCTTATGGAACAGAGTATACAGAAAAGTTAACTTGGAATTTTTCTGCACAGATTTGTAACACATTCCATTTATTTCAGTACAGACTCACAAATGTTTTTTTCTTGTTATAATCAAATACTTTATTATGTGGCTTATATTGTTCCAGATTATTGCAGCCTTTTGACTCCTATTTTCCATTGTCAAAAATGTGTCATTATTCAGGGTTGGGTTTTTTTTGTGTATGTATGTCTGGTTTTTTTGTTTGTTTTGTTTTGTTTTACTTTTTTATTTAGCCTTTAGTTTATTTCCTGGCATTTCAAGATGTGCTAAGTTCATTTTGTGTATTTTCTACACAAATCTTAGAATCAGCCATTTCTCTGAGTATCTTGGGTTCTAGTGTGCTTATTGTTACTGGAGTCTTTGCCTTTAGGCATCTTGTTAACATCAAGGAAATATTTGTATCTATTCATGTTAATAAACAGTTCTGTATTTTGCTGTGTCTGTGTTAAGCTAACCATGAACTTGCATGTCTCCAACTCAAATCCATTACCATATTGATCATTGTAACTTACCACTACAGTGAAGAACCTGGTTCCCAGAATCTGTTTACTTCATGGTTCACATCTAGTGTACATGTACACCATGTCAGAAGTGTTTACCTGATCCCCCATAGTACACTTCAGCATCGTGCTTGTGTGTGAATGTGTGTGTCTTAAAACTCCTCTATTCTCCTGAAAACTCCAGTTGTGCACCTTTTCCTTTCACTTCTTTTGTATATTGATAATACAGTTTGACTTTTGCAACATTCAATTTGATAGAAAGTAGCATTTTGGAAGTAGTATGATGTTAGAATAAGGGCAAGAAACATGACAGATGGAGCAAGAAGAGGAGAGATATTTAGAGATTTAGAATCTTGAATTAGGGAATTCAACTCCTAGATTTAGGAAATGAGAAACTGAAAAGGGAATTTAGCAAAGGGTTTGGAGGAAGTAATTTTCTTGGTAAGATTACTGAGTCCAAGAAATCTTTAAAAAAAAAAGAAATCCACATGAAGTCCAGGCTATTAAAGTCTACAGCTTAATGAGCAGGCTTTCAGGATTTGGAAATCCAAAGTAAATTGGCATTATGTAAATATCAATTAGCTAACTTTGAGGATGCCAAGCTGATAGCATTCTGAACTACTTTGAGGGCATTTTCATTCAGAAAAGAATAATAGCCCTGCCTTTGTGGTACACAGTGCCTGGGGTCTGGGTTAGGAAGTATTACAAGAAGTAACTTGAAGCTGTAGATAAGATAGTTTTTGTGTTTCCTGCAATTAGAACACGCCCAGTACTCCACCAAGTACTTTATGGTAGTTTCTCATTTATTTCTGAGAGTATCTCTGATTATGCTGTGTACTATTACCTGTATTCAGAGGCAAAAGAAAACCACATAACGCCTTTGGTCACAGGTACAAAATGGTGAAATTTGGTTTTAAATTTAGGGACTTTGCCTCCAGAGTCTAAAACTCTTAACCATGAAACTGAAGACACTAAGTCAACATGTGAAACCCCAAATCAAAACTGCCATTTGCTTGTTAGTGTTTATTCCTGCCTTTCTTAGTGCCAAATAACTGAATGATCATGATAAGATTAACAGGCTTCAGTTTGGCAGTAGTCAATTGAGTTGTTTACTTAGTTAATAAGAACTAAAATGGGCAGTTAACAAGAATTAATGGTGGGTCTTGGAGCTGAAGGACTGAGTGAGAATAAAAGGCTCATGACCTTGACTCTTCTAAAGGTGTATGCATATGAATAACCTTAATGTGATCATCAGCTGGACTCTGAGCCTGTCTACATCTGTATTAGATGGAGGTGATTAGAAGACCATGCACATAGACAAGTAACTGTCACTTTAATACGGCAAAAGAAGCATTGTTTAAAAAATTAGATGTTAGTGTATTAGACAAACAATTCAGTCATTTAAATCATTTATGAAAAGCTAGGAAAGTCCCATCACAAGGGAAAAGCATTTTCTTAAAATTTACTGAACTAGAATGTTTTAATGAAGAACGGCATGAAATCTTGCTATAAATTATAGCAAAGTGTATCAACTATATATGATACACTTTTCATATCAGTTATGCATTGCCCAGAAATCTTGAGATCCGTTGAAGTTTAGATTTTTTCAATACCTTATTTTTTGGTGGGACTGAGGTTTGAGCTCAGAGCTTTGCTCTTGCAAAGCAGGCACTGTACTGTGTTACCATACCTCCAGCCCACTTTACTCTGGTTATTTTGGAAAAGGGGTCTTAAACCAATTGCCTGGGAACAATTCCTCCTGATCTCAGCTTCCCAAATAGGTAGGATTTACAAGTGTGAGCCATTGGCACCCAACACTTAAGGTTTTTAGTAAGAGTTTGTAGCCATTCTTTGCTTAGTTTGTATCATCCCACAGAAACACTATGGTCACTTCCTCTGTGCTGGAGATAAGTGATCAAGCGCACAGCCTCTGCTTCCAAGAAAGCTTCCAGAAAGGAAAGCAGAAGATTACTAAATAAAAATTAAAAAGTATGTCTGTGAAGAGTTGTGGAACATATTTTGGTAGACTTCATGGATGAATTTCTTCATAGGTGCCAGATTCTTGGGGAGAAAATGGGTAAGAATTAGCCAAATGAAGAGAGGGAAAGGGAATTCATGCAGAAAGACTAGGGTGTGATAAACTTGGAGTTAAGAGATGGTATTGTTCTGTTTGAAAACTGCTTTGCTCGGTTCCCAAACTTTGCACCCATGTCCCATCTCCTAAGCAACATGGTAACATTGGGTTTGGGACTCCTCTAGATTCCAGTTCATCGTGGTAGAATATGCAAAAATCTCTTGTGATTATCCCCTAGTAAAGTGCCTTTGTCCATGCTGAACCTGAAATCTAGCCCATGCCATGAATTGGGAAATACCCCTAGGAAAGAAAACTGTTGGTAGTCTCACTACATAGAATGTGCTGTCCAGATGTGCTAAAACTTAATATATCTGGTCATCAGTGCTGCCACAGCTCTTATATTTCAAAAACTGATTTTCATTTGACCCACTTTTTCCTACTACAAACAACATACCTGGGAATGGGAGTCCATACTACAGGTTTTTTTAGTAGTTTGTGGTATGATCATATTTAGGATGATTACCCTGGCTGAAGTTAGGGAAATTGTGCTTAAAAAGTGGGGGAAAGGAAGTGGGTGATCTCAAGGGAAGTTGCATTATTCCTTTAAGTAAAAGATACAGTTCATCTGAATTTAGAATAGTCACATCGGCAATTGGAAGAAATGGATAACTAAGAGCTATTGAAAAGATAGAAGGAAAAGAGCAAACAAGTCCATAGTTTAGAAACAAAAGCTAAAATCTATCTGGTTTGTAATTTTGTGGGGGAGGTGGTGGTTTGGGACTGGGATTTGAACTCAGACCTTCATGCCTACAAAGCCAGAGCTCCACTGCTTGAGCAGTGCCTCCCGTCCATTGTCTTTATCTCTAAGGTTGCTATTTTACCTTAAACTCATTTCTATACTGAAAAGGTCAATTAATTGGTATATTTGAAGTTCTGAACTTCATTGATAAAACAGATGACCTATGTATGCACTTGTTACTTACATCCCCAGAATAAAAGAACTGGCGATTTTAAAAAATACTAATGAGGATTACTGTGTATTGCATTCCAGAACTTTGTGTACTTTTTTTTTTTGAAAAATAGTTTTTATTTTACTCTTGCATATTCTGATGTAAATTTTAAGCAATTCAGGCCTGGTGTGGTGGCTCACACTTGTAACCCTAGCTACTTAGGAGGCTAAGCTTGGGAGAATTACAGTTTGAGGCCAGCACAGAGCAAATAGTTTGCAAAACCCCCACCTCCAAAATAGCAGGGCAAAATGGTCTGGAGTGTGGCTCAAGCAGTAGAGTGCCTGCTTTGCAAGTGCAGAGTCCTGAGTTCAAACCTCATGCGTGCACATACACACACACACAAGAACTTATCATTTAAAGGAAAAATAAGTTGCAAAAGATTACTATTTTTACTCCAAACCACATCTGTTTTGGCAGCTCGTGTTTGCTTCAAAAAGCTAACAAGAAGCTGGACATGGGCACACACATCTATAATCCCAGCTGCTCAGGAGGTTGAGGCAGGAGGATACTCTTTGGGTTTGGCCTGGGCAAAGGTAGTGAGATCCTGTCTCAAAAATAAGAGTTGGTTCATACCAAGCCATAGCAAGCTTGCCTACATTGTGCAAAGCCCTGGGCTCAAACTGCAAAAATTTCAAAACTTTTTGTTTTTTCTCCTTTAGAAATCATTTAGAAATGATGGAGGGAACTGATATCCAGAGATAATGATTTACTTGCATGGACAGTAGAAAAGTATGGTTTTAACACTGTTTTCTACAAAACAGTGCATCAAGGTAGCATGGTAGTGATCTGAGAAAAGAATTACAAAAGACTTAACTTTAAAATATTTTATAAATATATGCTTTGTAGCAATTTATTGCCTTTTAAAGCAGAATACTCTTCTTTAAACAGAAGAAATAGAACATATATAAAATTTATCTTGATGACAGGATCCTTATATGTGTTACCTACATGCAATGTGAGATGCCTCCTAGTAGTAGTGAGATATGTAAGGTATATGTGCCTCCATTCATATATTACATTGTATTGCTGGCCAGGGCAAAAGGGTAGTTTCTCCTTGCAGTCAGTCTCTGAGATGTTAATTTCTTATTTTAGTCAGTGTACCTGCCTAGAAAGGCTCTTCTAATTTTTGATTTTTTTTTTTTGTGGTACCAGGGTTTGAACTCAGGGCTTTGAGCTTGCACAGCAGGCATTCTACCACTTGAGTCACTAATTTTTGATTCTTAACTCCCTGGTAAATATAGTTGAAAGACCAAGCTGACTGACTGACTGTGTGTGTGTGTTACTGGGATTGAACCCAGGGCTTTGTGCATGCTGGGCAAGTGCTCTGCCACTGAGCTGCACCCCAGCCTCTCTGTGAAGTGTTAGTCATGTTCATTTGTAAATCCCCAGGCTCCACATTACCAGCTTGCAGATGCTGACACACTGCAGTATAGGAGTTAAGAAGGGAGATTTTTGGCAGCTGTTTCCTCACCTATCAGACTTGTATGTTTCTTCAGTAGAGATGAAGTTATCAAAAGTTAGATACCATTGATTTTTTTTCCTGACCATTGCATTCCACATAGATTTTACAAGAGAAGATGTTCAATATAACTTATTAGAGCATAATTTTCCTACAGTAAAAGTACAGATCTTAAGTTTACAGTTCAGTGAGGTTTGGTTACCTGTGTAACTAATACTCAGCTCAAGGTACAGAAAGCTCCATTTATCCCTGAAAACTTGCTCCTGTGTCTTTTTAGTCCCTTCTGCCTCACTTGCCTAATTGCTGATTTCCAACATTAGTTTTGCCTTATTTACTCTGTCATGTCTTAACAGCATGTGGCAGCAATATTGCATGGATTGAGAGTTCTTTCATTTTTATTGCTGAGTAATACTCTTTAGTGCATATACTGTCATTTGTCCATCAAGCAATGGACAGACATTTGGGTTGTTTCCATTTTCACTCTCTGAGCTAAAAAAATAAACTTCTTTACAGATGAACAAGGTAGAAGTCTAAAAGCAGAAAAATCAAGATTCTAGCACACCCTGCTTTCATGAGTCATCAAAAAGACTTTCAGCAACAACTTTAATAGTTAAACCGCTTGACTGAGACCTTCCTATAACACTTCCTTCAGTGTCCCTGCTGCAGCTTGGATTGTAAAAGTTGCAACAGAAATATGTTTCTTTACTTCTGCCCAGGCCAAACGAGGGTCACCTCTATTCTCAATGTCAAACAGAGCATCATAAATCCCAGGAAATGATTCTCCAGCATATTTGTTGTGGCTACTTGGAGCAAAGATGATGTGCCTAAAAGAAAGAAATACTTAATTTAAAGCAAAGGAAATATTCTAGGTAGTCGAAATTAGTATCTGAGCTACATTTTCTTAAACATTATCAAGAAAAGTGTGACTATGGAGTATGTCATATCCATTTCGTAAAGTAATCCTACAATAGTGGGAAAATTTTTTTCCATGCCACTGTAGTAGACTGAAACAGCAATGTGAGCTGCTTGAGAAGACAGTCTTAATATTCAGTAAATAGTTCACAACATATTTTTTAAAAATACAGTGTAGTCTTTTGGGAATACAGTTTGGAGTAGCCTAAAAAATTTAAAATGAAATCCTGAAATCTGTTTATACAGACATTAACAAATATTCAAATAGAGTACAAAGACATTTATGGAGATGCATTTCATAATAGTAAATAATTGGGAGAAAGACTCATCTAATTAAAATCTCAACTAAATGTAGTTTAAATTGTAAATGTAAGCTCTACAGTGGAGTGGTACACTGCAGATAAGAGCTGAAAGATCCCCCAGGTAGATTCTTCAGAAAAGCAAGTTGTAAAATAAAGTATGGTTCCATTTATGTAGACAAATGTCTTCTCAAAATGTGTATGTGTATGTGTGCATTTGTATACAGATAGTACGTGAATGAATATATTAGCAAATTTAGAAATCTATACATATTTACGTATCGTATAAACATACAAATTATAAATAGACACTTTTAAGTACACGTGTGTATATACAACTGTGTTAAAATTTTCACACTGAACTGTTACTATTGATTGTCTCTAAAAAGAATAGCAAAACTGATGATGTTGGCTGGCTTACACTACAAACCAGCTGGCTGGGATGCTGCTGTACACAGACAGGAATCATGGATAGGTGAGTAGCTCTTCCAGTTACTCCAGGCCCTGAAGGGTGTCTGCAGTGGATGGGGGACAAGGAGCAGCACAGTCAGCTCTGGCCTTTTGCAGCTAGGCCAGAGGTAGGGTGTCTGACCTTGGGTTTAGGCCCAAGGCCTTGACAGCTAGGGCATGGTATAGTTTGGTACCCTAAGTGTTACAGCTCCTGCAGTGGGAGGGGTCTCTTGCCAGCCAATTCTGATCAGCTGCCCTAAGTTTTACTTTCTTTGTTGCCCTGAGATTCTTCTCTGCTGCTAATTGCTGACTCTCCCCATTGTTTGGGTCAGTTTCACCAGGCCACCTAGCTTGCTGACCTTACTGCTACCTTGCTGTCAGGGCAGCTTCTTTCCTGCCACTGCTGCTGCTTCTCCTTTTTCCTTCATATTACCAACTTAGCAAAGGTGGGCAAGTACACTCTCGGAGTTGTTATTGAGAACTGGTGTTACAGCATCACAGAGGTGTCCTAGATGATCACAAAGTGAGTTGAGCAGTTTGTTTATACAGCAGGAACGGGGTATCTGTACCAATCACAGCAGTCCCCTCCTGCTTGCAGTATAGTCCATTATGCAAATGAAAGATTGTGTTTGTGTCAATCATGGTATGGTCTGTTATGCAAATGAAGCATTGTGATTGCACCAATCACAGGTCTTCTGTTAGGCCAAAATGCCTCCCACCTGGTGGAAGTGGTGGTTATGCCAGTTTGTCTTGTGTTGGTCCAAAGCACCTTCCAAAAAGGTGCTTATCACAGTACTTTTACTTAACAGTGCTCTAACAATGCTTAACTTCTGTCCTGGTGTCCCAGAGGTAGGTCCCTACCATTTATTTCATTTGGCTTGGTGGGGTGTAAAAAGGAATTCCTGAAGTATGATTGTCACTTTTGCTTCTATACTCTGAGCTTTTATATTTACAAAATATAGATGTTTTCATTATAAATAAAATAAATTTTAAAATAGACTAATAATATTCAAGAGGAGACTAAAATTATAGCTACTTATGTCAACTTTTGTTTGCTCTGTATAAATACTAACCTGATGGTTCCTATTCTATTTGTATCAATGAATAAACATATATAACACAAAAATAGCTGGCATTTACTGAGTACATCCCTCTTTGAGCTAAATCTTCTATATACCTTAAATTACAAGCCTGTGGGGTGAAAGCAATTGTAATATCCACTTATAGCTGAAGAATCTGACCATAGAGAAATCATTTGTTTGGATCCCACTTATTAAATGGCAGAGCTGGGCTCCAAAAGCTCCTGCTTATAATTATTTAACTATCAGTGATAATCAGGAATGTTAATACACAGAACTATTTTTGCATGTTACGTGATAGCCTTGTAAAGTAGCATTTATCATAATTCAAATGGGAAAACACTAAATATCTACTCTAAACACACATCTGTAAGTGAATTTGAACACAGATCTTCTAACTTTGAATGCTAGAACTTTTCTACTTTCCATCAAGGACCACAGTTGGAAAGGGGCCTTGAGAAAATAGAGTCTATCCAGAGTTAGGCAGCCAAGACATCCAAAGAAAACTGGCATTGAGACACAGAAAGAAAAGCCAGGTATTTCTTCAGGGGAATGTAGCAGCTATCTTTCAAAACCTAAAATGTTGTAAGGAAACAGAGCTGGTCTTACTTTATTTTAGAGAACAGAATAGGGTGAGAGGGAGAACACTTCAGGGTAATAAATTACATATCTTTTTGAAGAAAATTTTCTAATAATCAGACTTTCTCTAAAATGGAATGCGTTTCCTCATGGAGCAGTAAGCTTCCCATCACTAGAAGACTGAAACAGAGACTGGGTACTACTATCTGAGAGCCTGTACAGAAAAGGTTTTGCGTAGATGATTGAACTAGATGAGCTCTAAGGCCCCTGTAAAATTCTATGGCTTAAAGATTTTGTTCTTTTTAACTGTCACTTACCATCTGCACACAAAACAAATAATGAAATGTATTTTTCTTACATATTCTACTACTATTGGATGTATAACTGACCCATATTCCCATCAGTACACATACTCACCTTCCACTCATCTGATGGCAATTTAAAGCAGACTTCAAGTGTGCTTTGTCATAGTGAGGTATTTTGGTGCCCTTTGGTGGATCACCTGTTTCCTTACCTATAGAACTGCCTTCCTGGTAAACCAAGGGGATCTATGAATGCTCTTTCCAGGAGCATCAATTGATCATTCACAATTCGCACTGCAATGGGACTTTGAGAATAAGAAATACATAATTAAAACACTTCCCATGAGGAAGGGTAAGGAAGGGGACCCACAGGAGGGGAGAAGAGGGGAAAAAAGGGTAATAGGGAAGGGAATTGGTCAAAGTACATTTTACACATGTATGAAAATGTCATAATGAAACTCATTTTTGAACACAATATACACTAACAAGAAAAACCTTTACCATGGAATCATGTTAAAAAATAATATTAAATAAATATAAAGCATGGAAAAATAAACTGTAATCTGTAGATTTTTTTAAATTCATGTTAGCAGAGTAATAATGTTAGTTGAAAGATATTCTTTACTTCTCTACAGAATAGCCAGACCTGGAAGGCTAGGCAGAGTGAATCATCAAGTTGTTCCTGATAATTCACTCAGGTCTACTTTGGAGGAAGGCAGCAAAATGGAGGCAGAGACACAAGGAGTGAATTAAGGCTCAGGGGCCTGTAAGGGGGGCCAGCAGTTGCATGCTATGGGTGGGAGGAGTCCCCATCACAAGTGGAATCTTCAGAATGACTTTCTGGGGATCTGAACAAATTCCCAGGGCAATCCTACAATCCAAGGGAGAAATGAGGCTCTTCAAAATGAGTGACATAGTTTTCTGCTTTCTGATGAAGTCTGGAAAAATAAATGTGAGATGGGCTATACTTTGGAGCAATTTACATAATGTTACATAATGTTTTACTTTGAAAATACCTTTTATCTTCATCCTAAAAGTGGCAAAAGTTATATGAAATGGAGAAATGTATCAACAAAAACAATTTGTAAATTGATGCATAGAGTATTGGCAAGGACTGTAATGAAACAGATTGCAAATGCACCTAAACCCATAGAGCTATAAATTACCAGCTGTGATCAGAATTTTTTCATTATGCAAACTCAAGATATGCTTCTGGCCCTTGTTTTGGAGTGAGGTGCTTTTTAGTCTACTATTCAGAGCAGAGCTCCTTGAACTTTAATGTTAGTAAAAGTTAGTAAAACACATTGAGTGTGGTCTGACTTTTGCCCTTCTCACAAGCGCCCAGCTGATGTGGATACAAATATAATCTGAATAGCAATGATTTAGAGCTGAATGCTTATATGAGTAAATCATTTGCTTCTTACAATCAGCTTTTCAAAGCAGAAGCATTCAAAACTTACTTATTGAGATCAACTTGTGTAAGTCTTCTATGGAAATCTGAAGCTTCCGCTGAGAAGTTTTTCACAGCAGAAAATAAAGCATCTTAAAAAAATAGAAAAGTAACAAAATTATTATTAAGATAAGTGAGTCATCTTTCAGAGGTTCACTTTCCTGTCCCCTCCATTCCAGATGGACATGATTGAATATGTGCTAAAACCATTTTTCTACTGATCCCTCTTGCAGATCCATGAAACAAATTAGAGAATGTCATTAGAAATAGTGTGTGAAAATAAAAATGGCTAAATTGGTTCTTAGGGAAATTACATTTCAAAAGTTGAGGACAAAAATAATTCCTTGACCTACACTTTACCAAAACATAGCATTCATTTATTTTGTTCATTCATTTTATATTTATTGGTACAATTACTATATACTAGACATTGGGTACAGCTATAAGTAAGCTATCCCTGTAATTATTACAGGATTACAACAATATGAATCCTTACTTTCAAATAGTATATTTAAGACCTTGTTCAAAAGCAACCTGTGACAAACTGAGAAAGACTCCTGACTGAGAAAGAAATCAGATTTGGTCTGGTCAACCTTTTCTTTAGTTGATAAAGTTTCTAAGGAAGTCATTAAGTGCACAGTACATTGTATTTGTTATCACAATAACCTACTTATTGATTTTGATGTTTTCTGAGCAGGACTTTAACATACATTATTGATGTACTGCTTCACTAATTCTGTGACGCAGGCAAAACAGGAGCTACAATACTCATTTTATAGGGAAAGCACTCAGCTCAGACCACAGGATTTCTATTAGGTCATACAGCAGGAAGTGGTACCTTCGATTTAAAATGCATTCTTCAAAAATCTCTTCCCTTAGCTTCCATCATATCTATTACTACATTATTTGATTTAAATACAGTTTATTAAAAAAAAGTAAAGATTAAAGAATGAAAATTTATTACTAAAAAGACCTCATTTTTTAGCTGTTGTTGCCTGCACTAAATGAAGAATTTTAATTTTGAAGAAAGTGAAGAAAGCAGAAGAAATACTGTTGTTAAGGTAAAGATATGGGAATATTTCTGTAATGGAGAGTTACCAATAGGGTTGAAGATTTTGAAAATGTGGCAGAGACAAGCATGAATAGATAAGACCAGGTCCTCAAGAAGGTAAGCATGTAGAGGAAAGGCTGGTACACCTGTGTTCATGGAGATGAACCCTAATGGATGTGTGCATGGATAAAATAATAAAATTATATGTAGTAGAATTGGTGCTTTTCTATATTTTTCATTTTTTTTAATATTGTTTTGTAATTTTGCATAGTCTTCATTTTGTTCCTGTAAAGGTAAAAAAAATATTTTTATTGTAGTTTTTTAAAAGACAAGGTCTCACTATGTGCCCTGGGCTGGCCTGAAATTACAATCCTTCTGTCTCAGCCTCCCAAGTGCCAGAATTACAGGCATGTACCACTACACCCAGCTAAAATGTTTTTTATATCAGTAATATAGGACAAATATTTACCAATTCAATGCTTATAGCACTAACTCAGTCATAATTCATTCATCTTAGACATACCAGATTTGTTTTAAATCTTTGATTCAGATAATACAAAGGTTTCTACATTAGTATTTGCCTATGAAAAGATTCACTTCAACTTATTGTGGGATTTTTTTTTTAGATCATCTGAATAGTGGTACTGAGAAAGTTTATCTTGTCATTTGAAGTGAGTTTTGAGAGCTACTCAACATAAAACAATATCAAAACCCTATATTGTCCATTTTTATATTGGAATGTTTATAGGCAAAGACATGTAAATCTTATAAAGACTAGAATCTAGCATAATTAACTTATACTTTGTAATATAAATTATGTTTATCTTTATGTACCTTACAAAAGTAAGCAATGCACTGTGTAAATATATTCTGCTCACCCTGTTGCTACTTATGTTAATGTGGCTGTGCATCAGAGAGTTGTTACTCAAATTTTAGTTGTTTTTTAAAAATATACTGTGGAGAGCTCTCAATTATTTTTTTCCAGTTTCCCAATGATGGTAAAATAGAACAACCAGGATCTCAATATTGGTATGATATACAGATGTGTAATTAAAGAAAAAGAGACAACCAGGGACTCCAGTGATACACGATATTAATTCATGCATCAATTACTTCCTAAAGTATTTCTGCCAATATCCACTGAGCTACTTGACCACATGGCTGTGCCAACTTGGTCAACCAAGTTTCAGTCTCTAGGAGTACATGCTTGTCATCTTCCCTGGACAATTAAATACTGCTCTTTACTGGAAGCAAATCACAATTGAGTATACCAACTATAAAATCAAGACATATCAGATTAAATCAATTCCTAAATAGATGTTTATTTAAAGCTTTTGTCTGAAAGTCAGCATTAGTGAGGCAGGGAGAAATTCCAAAATTAAACAGTATGCATTGACCATGATAAGTGATAATATCTTAAAGTTCTACCTTAAACACTAAAATATCTTACCAAATGATACTCCATTGTTTCTCAATTGTTGGTCATGTTTCCTGGATAAATTGAAGATACTTGTTGCATAGTTTTTCAAAGCTTTTGCATAGTCTTGAATATTGAAAGGAATGATTGTAGAGTCTGCAAGCTCATATACCAGTGCTCCCCGTATTTGGGCCACAGAAAGCTGTTTTTTAAATGTGGGGTCATAAAAATTTTCTACCAATTCAAACGTCTCATAAACCGTGTGGTACATGGGGTAGCTGCTGTATTTATCTGTTTTCTAAAATGGGGGAGAGGCACAAGTATAAACAAACATTACATGTTCAAGTTATAATATTGTATATAATCATAGAAAGACTATAAAAATACATATGACATCCTGAATTTCATCACAATGAAGCAAAAAGCGAAAAGCTGATTAACTAAAACACTGCAACTTAATTATTTGATTTGATTTAAAAATTTTACCTATATTCCTTTTATAATTCATGTAACCTTCACTCAAAATACTGCCTCTTGAGTATTTTCTTGCATTTCTAGTAACTAAAATTAAGGAATGTATATTCAACTTGCACATAAAAATTACCTATCATTTGATTAGGAGTGAAAGGCTCTGGGCAACTAAGTATAAGAGCTAAAGGAGGATATATTTAATTGCCTTCACAAGGAATGTACAGCCAAACACCATTTGACCTTTACTACACAATTAAAAGCTACTACAATGATCAGACATTATTAATAGTGGTACCCTATAAAAATGGAGTTCTTAAGTCTACTTATCTTAGTTTTAGCTTTTACCATGTACTGCCTTGTTCTAGGGCAATCATTTTTCTTGTTTTTAGTGTCAGTAAAAGGCAATTGCGTTATCAGTCTGTCTACTTCTAACTGTGTGCTTCTAACCTATAGTGATTTTAGAAACTCAACAGGGTTGTTTAAATTGATGACAGAGTATAAAAGTGAGCAGGCCTTGAAAAAGAGTTAAATGTACCCTCTTCATGTAGTTGACCCTGGAGCAACACAGAGGTTCAAAGTGCCAACCCCATCATCAAACATATATTTGAAAATCCATGTATAACTTGGTTCCCTCAAAACTGAACTGATAGCCTGCTGTTGACTCTACCTTACCAATAATGTAAGCAGTTAGCACATTTTGTATGTTATATGTATTCTTTATGGTGAAAAAATAGACGAGAACCATAAAGACCACTTTTTCCTAGGATGTGCAACTAGCTGGAGAGCTGCTCAAGCTGTCATTTGGTGTCACAGGACATTTTAAGCAGATGTTTGCAACACAGAGCCCACTACCATGCCAACAGGACATGGCCTTGACATTATTTTAGTAGCACAGATATGTACTATGTGTCATTTTATGCAGTTGTGATTGAACACTGCATCTTTACATGTGCTTACATTTTTTTGTCCTGCAAACACCATGTATCACTTGTGCATGTATTCTGATAAATTTTCAACTTCTATAATAAATTTGTGTATATGTATGCTAGTAAATTATAAAATAGACTATTCTGTACATATATTTTATGCATTCATACCATAACCAACCTTTCTGGTATGTCTGGGATATGTGGTTTATCTATGAATTTTTTCAGATGGTAGCAAATATTCAAAAAATCTGTATATAAGTGGAACTGTGCGGTTCAAACCCATGTTGTTCAAGAGCCAACTACACTAAGTATAATGAGTTAGTGTTGAGAGTTTATGCACCTATTTTGTTGATACTCTGAAGCTGTTTTGTTTACTTCATCCTTACTTGTATTCTGGGTAAATTTGCAATCAGTATATATTATGGACAATCAGATGTTAATGTGTTGCACTTTTGATTTGAAAATTGAAAACTGTGGAAAACCTGTGTCTTCGAATGCAATCTTCAACTTGTCTTATGATATAATTTGTATCATAAACAAGAGAACACACTATGTGTTGACTGTATCCAACACTGCATCATCAAGATTCTTGAGTGACAATGGCACAAAGTAGTCAGCACAGAGTAGAAACATGGTAGAGTTAAAAATTAGGAGAAATTTGCTTTGTTGTCTACCCAAGAGCCCTTGACTCATGTTAGGCAGAAGTGGGGATATGTAGAGGGACTTCTGACAATAGAAATCCTAGCCTAGCATAGCCCCAACCAAAACATGTCCTCCAACTACATTTTTTCTCAGGAAAAGCCTATCAGAGCTACTGGACAAGGCTAGAAAATGACATTTTCCCAAAAGAATCCTGCTTTAAGAAAAGGATGGAAATTACTGGGCACTGATAACCAGATAGGCATCTGGCATTACTGTGTCATTTCAGTGAAAAACACTGGTAGTAAAATATTCACAAAATAAATCACTTCTTAGTCTTTCTGTAAGGGGGCAGACAATCTATCTCCATCCCTGCAATTCCCACAGGTCACATGTCCACCCTCGCTCCTGTTGCAAACAACTCAGGGACAGAGTTCCTCAGCCAAGAAATGTGAGTGAAATGCTACTGTAGTTTGGATCTGAATGTCCCCCCTGGCATTACTGTGTCATTTCAGTGAAAACACTGGTAGTAAAATATTCACAAAATAAATCACTTCTTAGTCTTTCTGTAAGGGGGCAGACAATCTATCTCCATCCCTGCAATTCCCACAGGTCACATGTCCACCCTCGCTCCTGTTGCAAACAACTCAGGGACAGAGTTCCTCAGCCAAGAAATGTGAGTGAAATGCTACTGTAGTTTGGATCTGAATGTCCCCCCAGGCTCATGTGTTAGTAGAGGTTTGGTCCCCTGGTTGGCACTCTGAGGGGATGGTGGAACATATATGACATGGGCCTATTGAAAGGTCTTAGGTTACTGGGGACATGCCCTTGATAGATGGTGGCAATCCAGCCCCTCCTATCTCTCTTTGCTCTGTAGCTGCTGTAAGGTTGGCAGTGGTCCTACAGTACATGCTCCTCACCATGATGTGCTGCCTCCCCACCAACCCCAAAGCTAACTGTGAACCAAAACTTCTGAAATGCGAGCAACACAGCCTTCTCTCATTGAGATGATTATCTCAGGTATTTTGTCACAGTGACAGAGAGCTGACTGTATATTGAAAATGATAAAATGGGTTACCATATTCTTAGTGTAACGTGCTCTTCCTGAAGCAATTCCAAGTCTCTGAAAATAAGCTTCAAAGTCACTTCCAGATCCAAGCTTATTGATTCTAGATGTAGAATATAAACACACACATGCACAAATAGAAGAATGGTACAAAGTTAAATAGGGAGGAAAATGAATCTTACTCCAAAGCAGCAAGGAATTACGTGGCATGTTTATTGTAAGAATTAGACCAGGACAGCTATCAAGACACTTTCCTATCCCTTGTTGTAATATTGCTATGATAAACATACAAATCTGCACTGAATACGGGGGGTGGGGCAGTACCACCAAGAGCTGCAACCTGGTGCGGATGCTGTGGTCAGGGTTTACAGCATTTAGTGTTTGTTCAAGGGGAAGCAATGAAGCCATGGAGCCCACCCTCAGAGAACTGTAGTTTAATAAGAAAATTGCCACAAGAAAATTTATATTTACAACCAGGAAAAATCCTATGTGCCTTAGTTCATTTCAGAAACAAACTTGACTATGATCCATTTCTTTGTACATAATCTAAAAATATTATTTGTAAACATACACATATATACATACAGACATACATATATGATATAATGACATGGAAAAATTGTGACATAATGCTAAGTCAATAAAGAAGAATGTAAAATTATATTTACATTAAGAACATGGTTTAAATTTCCAAACTATTAGATCTGTCATTGAGATTGAGGCCTTCAATATTTATTTATTTATTTATTTGTCATTCTGAGGAGTGAATAGAAGGCCTCACACTTGCTAGGCAAGGGCTCTACCACTTGAGCCACACCCCCACTATCTTGGATGTTTTTAAAATATAATTTGTATTTTACTGTCTTTGTTGGATCAGTATGAAACCTTTACAGTGGAAAATATTTAAAGTTTCACAAGACTGATTTGAAATATGGAATGCAACTCCTACCATCATCTGTTTGTGCTAGAAATAGTACAATAAAGGGGTGAGGATGTAGTTGGTACAGTTTTGCCTAGCAATAGCACTGCAGTAGAAAACAAGTGAATATAAAATAAACTTAAAGACATGGCTTTAGCACATATATGAAGAGGTAAAAAGTAAATAGCTATATGAAATCTAAATTGATTACAGGTAGACATACAATTTGGTTATTGATAATGCCCCTTACTAAATTTATTTTTCTCCTTTATTACTGTTGTTTGAAATTATATTTTTCAGTAATGCATCTGCTATATATCTGGGGTAAATGTTATATAAGAATGACATGTAGTGACCAATAATGTAGCAAAAATTATTTTGAATAAATTCACAAAGCTAGATCTATTTGTGTTCCACTGCAGGTTAAAAAACTTGGTTGTGGGCTGGGGAATGGCTCAAGTGGTAGAGTGCCTGCCTAGCAAGTACAAAGCCCTGAGTTCAAATCACAGTAGCAAGCAAAAAAAAAATTATTTCAAGAGACTTGGTTGTGCTGGCTGCTTAGCAAAACAATAGCTGGGGAACTATTAATTGCTGATGACACATCTGAGAATTGTATGTTTGAAAAAACGAGCAAAGGGGAAGTGGTAATTTATCCTATGGTAGAGAGGATTCACATGAGTAATTTACCTAGGAAAATCTTTATTTTCAGGTGAAGGGTCTTTTTCCAGCCAGCTTTCATAAAGTGACTTACTCTCAAAACCTTCATCAGGGCTGGCGATCTGGAAAAATAAACCAACACTGGGGATGAGGCTCAGAGCAACTGCACTTATGCCAGTATCCAGCCACATACACCCCAGCATCAACTTCTATCACGAACTATGTACATGCACATACATATGTACCACGTTCATTTATAGAAAAACACCTTTTTGCAAATGGGAGGAAAGAAAATCTAGTCCAAATTCTTGTTCATTTATGATGCCTATCTGTGGTAATGCCAAGTACCTAGGAGGTAATTTACTGATTATTTTGATAATTTTTCTAATGGGTTTTCAAATTTTTTCACAAACATTGTCACTTTAGTGTTTGGCACCTGAAATCTATTTTAATGGAAAGACATTGGGGAAAACTTTAGACATGATATTGACATTAGTGATTTTCTTACCCAAGTTGATTTACAAAGCAGTAGATGTGACATAGGTCAAGAAGCTGAACTTGAAATTATCAATATAAGTTCTTTTGCAGGGTGGGTGGAGGGTAGAAGTGGGTACTATTGGTTTAGAAAGTCTATGTTTAAATAAAGTTGGAATTTTATAGATTTTAAAAGATCATTCTGAGAAAATGGCAATAAAATTTGGGTATCTGAGAAAGCTGTTGGGTACTGACACATCTCTGAACACTTGCCCTGCTTCAGTCTCATTCCATCTATTGAAATGTGCAAAAGTATTGTGCTTACTGATAACATAGGCCCTCCTCACCAGCCTTTCAGAAGTAACAGTGGTGCAGTAACAGTGGAATGGGGAAGGAGTTCCTTGCCCTGTGGATCAGTATAGATGGGATGGTAGGTCATCACAAAATCCTCAGTGTAGAAAACAGTTTGGATGCCAGGTATGGTAGTGTGTGACTGTAGTAGGAGGGGTCAGGGCAAGAACAGGAGAGGAGAGAGAGAAAAGAGCTAGTCTTGGCACTCCACATAGTCATCCCCTCCCAGCAACATGCACACATGCAGAGAAGCTCTGCTCATTTCCAGCCAGCTGGCCGGGTTCTACTTTCTACTCTGTTCCTGCCAACTTTCAATGGCTAAGGCCCTGCTGTAGATCCAACACACTACTTGGACTACATGCTCAGCAAGATCCTCTCAGTTTTCTGAAATCAAACTATTTCAATTTAGCACTAACCTCAACTGTGTCCCTTTGGCCTGCCTAATCCAGATCAGTCTTACCTCCCCCAGCTGGAGGCACTGTCAGTATTGACAGCCCTCCTTTCAATAATAACAGTTTGTCCCATTTCTTGCTCAGTTTGCTGATCTTCTTTACTGTCATGGCAGCATCATGGTTACTGACTCACTAGGATTTGAAGAAATTGTAATAATCATGGGTACTGACTCACTAAGGGTTGAAGAAATAGCAATAATCAGTTTACATAGAAGTACAAAAGTTGCCCTAGTTTACTGGGCATTTGGCCATAGATGAGCATTTGCCTTTTTACAAAGGGGAATGAAAACATCTTTCTCATTTACTGGCTTCAGAATTCTTGTCACCACTGACATCAAAGACAAGAGCCATCTCCAAAACAGCACATACTATAAATGCATACTTTGAAAGGCTTCTCCCAATAAAGATGTTCTTTACAGTTTGCTTTTGGATAAGATGCTTTTGTGGGACATTCCAGTGGAGAATCAAGAACGTAAGGTAGCCAAGATGATTGCAGGGTAATAAGAGGACTCTCATTTGAGAGATATAGATTTTAAAGACGCTAACAGTAAAAAGGGAAGGGCAAGACTAAGAGAAATTAGAAATAGTACATAGAGAAGAGCGACACCTACTTCACACTGTTATCTAAGGCTGGCCTTGAAGCAAGCATTCCTTTTTTTAAGGGGAAATTATCCTGGAATGCTTGGACGGGCCCAATGAACTCACAAGGATCTTTATTAGAGGGAGGCAGGAGGGTCAGAGTCAGATGTGATCACAGAGCAGAGATCAAAGTGATGTAGCTGGCCCTGTGCTGGTGGCCCACTCCTGTAATCCTAGCTTCTCAGGAGGCAGAGATCAGAGTTCTAAGCCAGCCCAGGCAAATAGTTCATGAGACCCTATTTCAAAAAACCCTATCACAAAAAATTTGGCTGGTGGAGTGGCTCAAGGTGAAGGCTCTAAGATCAAGCACCAGTACTGAAAAAAAAATGTGATGTGGCTGTAAGTGAAGGAATGCAGAAGCTTCTGTAAGTTGGAAAAGGCAAGAAATGGATTACAAAAAAATGTGGCTTGGCCTACACACCTTGATTTTAGCCCCAAAAGTTTCATTTCAGGCTTCTGACTCTCAGAACACAAATTGATCAACTTCTAATGAACTGGTGCTATCCTAAGCCACTAAATTTGTGATAATTTGGTATAGATAGTAAGGTTGACCTTTTAAAACTTTCTGGCAAATCAATACAGCATTGAGATTCCAGCTCACCTCAGTCAGAATGGGAGCCATCAAGGAACCAATAACAAATAGTACCAAGGATGCATGCAGGGGGGAAAAAGAACCCTCAAACACTATTGATAGGAATGTAAATTAGGGCAGTCACTATGTAAATAAGGATGAAGGTTCCACAAGAAACTAAAACTAGAACCATTCCTGGGCAATCAACCCATGAGTTCATAAAGAAAATGTGGTATTGTTCAGACATAAAGAGGAATGAAGTTACGTTGTTTGCAGGAAAACAGATGGAATGTTAAGTGAAAAAAAAAAAAAAACAGATTGAGAAAGACATATCACATATATGAGATCCAGACCTAAAAGAGAATGATATGAATGTATGGAGGAGGGAACCAGTGAGAGGCAGGAGGGCAAAAGGAGAGGGTTGGTAGGGAATGAATAAGAACGAAGTTCTTTAAATGCTTGTACAAAAATAGAATAATGAAACCCATTAAAATTGTTCTTAAAAGAGGGATAAGAAATAACAATGGAGAAGGTGAATTTGGTCAAAGTACGTCCTATATATATATGTAGAAACCTCAAAATGAAACCCCTTGATTAATACACACCAATAAAAAATAATTTAACAAAACTACACTATTTCATATTACTTCTATCAGCATACCCTAATATGAAAATTTAGCTAAAATTTAAGAGTTGAGGTGTGTTTGTTTTAATTACTCTTGCAAAATACCTGAAAAGAAAACATAAAGGAGGAAAGTTTTGGTTAACAGCTTCAGGTGTTTCAGAGCATGGTCGGTGACTCCAAAGCTAAAGGAAGACAACATGGTGGGAGAAAGCAAGTGTTTCTATGTGAAAACTCAGCAGTGGGGAGCTATTAAGTGAAGCATGTTCATGAGATGAGTAGAACACACAATTTATAGAGATTAAGTGTGCTTTAGTTTCTAGAATATTTTATATCTGTAGTTCACTTACTATTTATAGCATTTATATATGATGAGTGCAGAATTATTTCCACTTTGCCTTTAGACTTGCTCCTGTTCAATCTATTTACTACACTGACAAACAACGATCAGCCTTGTTAAAAGTTCTTTGGAGCTGTCTCCAACACTAGCTTCCTGAATTCCTTGGCTTATTTTTCATACCCTACTTCTTGCCTTTCCACCAATACCTGTGCTAAAGCCAAATGAGCTTCCTTCAGGTCAGGAATCAGGTTCTTTCACATCTCCACATCTTTCTTCTGGCATTGTGCCCACTGGTTAAAATGCCCTCTCTTCACTTCTACTTCCTTCCATTTGACAATGCAAGCATTAGTTACTCAGTGAACATCCTTGTGTGCTTTCCAGCTCCCCCAGCTACCCCTGTGTTTTAGGTCCCCTGTTCCATAACTGTTTCTCCATTGTATATAGTAGAAATTTTCTGTTGAACTATGATTCCTTGTTATGGGTCTGTTCTTTCTAGATTACAAAGTCTTTGGATTAGTGGTCTTGTCCTTACATCATTGCTGCTGCTAGAGTTCATTTTACAGGGCCTGGCACAAAGTAGGCATCTAATGGAACCACCTTCCCAGAGGGAAGGAAGGAGGAACAAAAGCTTTTCCATTCTAGCCCAAGACTCCTTCCACTCTATCAGAATGGCATACTGTGTACACTACAAGTATGTACATAATTATTAATAATAACTATTATTAGAAGAAAGAGACTGCTGATACTATCTTCATAATTATGTCACATGGTAAACTGTATATTAAAGAAGTTGCTTTTACTTGTTATTTATGAGTCAGCTGTGTACAGTCACCAGTTTAAAAATAAGTGCCACAAATTAAGGGAGGAAAGTATGAGTCATTTATCCATTCATCAGAAAACATAGTGAAACAGACCTCCTTATTTACCTCTTTTGTCAGTTTATATACCAGTTGGTAAAGAAGGGGTGTACAGTCAACTCGAAGAGTGTAATTGCCTAAAAAATAAATAAAACACCAGAGTATTATTTCATCCTTCCACATGAAATTTCATTTATGTTTTATTCTAACTTATTTTTTGAGGCAGGGTCTCACTCTGTACCCCATGCTGACCATGAACTCACTATATAGCCCAGGCTAGTCTCAAACTTGTGATCCTCTGACTCCACTCCCAAGTGTAGGATTACAGATGTGTACTACTGTACCCAACTCAAACATCAGCTTCTAATTTTAAACAAGATAAAATAGTGCTTAAATCAATGACATCATTCACATAGATTAAGACAGGGTGGAACTAGTTCTTCACAGTGAGAGAGGCTGCAGCACATATTTTGGACTGAAAAATAGGTGGACTTCGGTGGCCAAGGCAGCAGCTCCCACAGCCATCAAACCATCATTGCTGCTGAAGAAGCAGTGATGCTGCAGGATTATCCTCATCCTTTCATTCAGTTCAACTGTGTGAATCACTATCAGTGCCTAACATCTATCAGACAAGAGCGTGTGTTCTGACATCCATCAAGAGACAATCAAAATGCACTGAAAGCCTAGAGACCAGTACATAGGTCAAATTCAAGAGGAAGTTTGTAGTTTGTGCTTGCTTCAAATTCATCCAGTAAATACAGAAAATATTTATTCCATTTTTCAAGGAAATATTTTAACATGGAAAATATAGTCTGTAAAATATTTCTGAAATGTTTCAGCCAAATTCTTTTAACAGCTCCACAGGAAAAATGTGATTAATACTAGAGTTTTAAGTAGCAATCCAAGACAACTAAGTGGTAAACATTCCAAAGAAATTAGGAACAATTGTGTAGTTAGGAAACACTGATTGACATAAATCATTATTTTTCCCATGATAAAGTTAAAAACTAAGCTACTACTGCGGAATCTCACAGGAACAAATTACCTGAGATCGTTAACAAGTTGGAATTTATGGATTTAAAAGATAGCATGCTAAAAATTTACTATAAATGAAAATTACTTGAAATAAAATTTACTTTCTGAACATTTTATGTCAAACTGAAATAAAACTTACCTTCTATAGATGAATCTGAGTTGATATAAGCCACACTTCTCTCCTGGAGTATTTTCACATTCTCCTATAATTTGAAGTAAAGTTGTTACTTAATTTGCAATATTTACCATTGTAAAAGTATGAACAAAATAAGCAAAATAGTTTTGTGGAAAAGTGGCATGCAAATACTTTAAAAGTCAATACCTATTCTTGTCTGTGACCACAGATTCTGACGAAATGCTAAGAGCTGCTTGATTTACAACATTAATGTAATTAAGCAAGAAAGAAGAACATTATGAAGCAGTAGCTACTGTTTGTGATAATAGCAGTACACATCAAAGAAAAAAATATTTTCAAATGTGGTTTCCTGATTCCTTGCCATCAGAACATGCCAAGCAAGATTCTGAAACTCAGGACCCTACCCCAATCTACTGAATCAGAACAGTCCAAGTGAGGCCTGCAATTTGTATTTTTCTAACACATATCTCCGATGATCAAGATCCATTGAGAGTGGATACCCAAGTAAAGTTACTAACTTAATAACAAAAAAAGAGAAAAGTGTCCATTTATCTATATTTGTAAAGACTGGAGAAGTGGAAGAATATTTAAAAAGTGGGAGAGGACAGAGAAAAATCAGAGGGAAAAGAATAGCTTAGGAAGAATACAAGAAACTCTCTCTCTCACTCTCTCTGGCTACTTTATGAGAATGTGTTATAATACAAACAGCCAAAGCTTGTGTGTCTATAGCATGAATAAAGTCCTTTTTACCTCTTTTCTCTTGCTTGCACAGGACAGATGACAGTTGTCTTCATTATAGAGACACAGAGTTTCCAATATAAGAGATTCACAGTATAATAAGTAAAGAAAAATCCTTTTGTGTATTTATAGAGGTTAAGTATGCTACTGAATATGATAAAGAATCTGGTAAAAAACTGGAAAGGGTGTTGAAATTGCTTCTTTAACTGAAGTTAAAGAAACAGACACATGTATTCTTCTTATATATGTATCACAAGAAATCACATTTCTAAAAATAAATGGTCCTGATAAATGATATTTGATCCATCTAAATTGATAGTCTATGTTAAAATTGCACATCATAATACAAATGTAAACATAAAAAATTGCAATGTAAATATGATGAACATATGATAAGTGATATCAGACAAGTAACTATATGTGATTTTACTCTCACAATTATTTGATTCATATTATTATTATTTTAAAGAATTATAAAATGAAATGAGTCAGGAAGAAGGCATTTTTGAAGCTATGGACAGTGTCCAGACATGATTTACAACACCTCAATAAAATTTGGAATGTATGAATGATGAGCAGGTACTTGAGGGAAAGCAAGTGCTTACATAGGTCACCTACCTTTATAAAAATGGAAGAGCTTACCTTAAATATGTAGGAACTTAGAGAAGAAGCAACAAAGAGGCTTAGGGAAGAAGATGAAAGAAAGGGGGCCACAGAGAGACACTTAAGGAACTAAGAGTGACAAAGGAAACCCAATCGTATCTCTGGAACAGGAAAAACAAAAACTGTGAAATTATAAAGTAAATTACCTTATTAAGTAATTAAGGTCACAAGTTTATCCTCTTATACTTAACAATAAAGGCACATATCTGCTGTGAAAGGTAAAATGAAAAACAGCTTGCTAGTTTTGACTATAAGATAGATAGACAGGTAGCTAATATATGTAATATACTAGATACGTAAAGATATATATCTAAAGATACATATGTAATATGTATTCCTGTTGACCAAGAAAATAACAAGACCTTCCCTGGTTTATTTACCTCAGCCCATTCTGTAGAACCCAGCAGTCCAAATTCTTCTGCATCCCAGCTGGCAAAAATGATGGTTCTCCTGGGCCTCCAGCCTGTAATCACGGTTAACATACACGATTAGGTTCACCCCCCTGAAAACAAAGGGAAACTAAGTCACTTTCTGTGAGCTCCTACCAAGTCATTGTTTACCTCCTTTCAGCAGTTTTCCAAAACTTCGGGCAATTTCTTGCAAAACTGCAGTCCCAGTGGTTGGATCAATACCTCCAAACACCCAGGAGTCCCGGTGACCTCCCAAAATAATATACCTGTCTGGACAAGAATGTGTTCAAAAGAACGTCATTTTTGGATGTATTATAAATATTTGTAATTCATGTCCAAACTCCCTCCTGCTTGAGTTTTCCATAGAAAACAACAACACTATAAGGTAAAATCTTTTAGAGTTGTAGAATTTCCCCCCAAATTTCATAGTTTCAAATCAGCCAGAAAACGCTCAATTGCTGACTGAAATTTATCTTTGTAAAAACAAAACATTTTCAAAAACTTCAGTGACTCACCAGGTTCCACAGATCCTCTGATAGTTCCAATCACATTGTAAATCCTTGTAATTTTGTTGGTGTTGTGAACATGCATTCTAACTTTCCTAGAATTTCAAAAGGAATAAATCATTTCATAAAGGGTATTTTGTTTACAGTTGTTTTCCAACATTTTATTTGAAAGATCTCAAAACTACAGCAAATTGTACCACAGGACAATGAACTGTCATGTGTCCACCATCTGAATTCAATATTGTTAAAATTGTTGAAGCACTTGCAAGAAGGTGTAGGCATCCTGGGAATTTACTCCTGCATCTTAACGTGAAATTTTAACACTTGCAGGTGTATTGTTAATACTTGTTTATATAGCTCAACATACTCCACTGAATGTCTTAGGTATTCTTTTGAAAACTTTAAATATATACTATTTAATTACAAAAACAAATAAGCTAGTTCATTGCATAATAAATGAAAAAATATAAAGCTATTGTTTGAGCATCTGTCTTTATAAAGCCTTGCACTGAACAATGATGTTCTGAACAGTAACAGACTGTATTATGTCAGTGGTCCCCTAATATAATAAAGGAGGTACCTAGGGAGTGCTTAGGGTCACTAAGCTGCTGCAGTGTCATAGCACAGTATATCACTCATGTGTGTGACACTGGTGTAAACATACACGTCCCACTGCCAGTCATAACAAACGAGACAAGCCCAGCTCAAAAGGCCAAATACTGAATGTAAAAACATCCAATATGTTCATATGTGGAATCTAGACCTAAAATGAATGAGAGAGGGGGCTGTCTGGGAGGTGGTATCAGCAGGAGAGAGTGGGAAATGGAGAGAGTACTGGGAAACAAAGAGGACAGAAGTACATTGTGTGTGTGTGTGTGTGTGTGTGTGTGTGTGTGAAGATAGTGTAATAAAACTCACCAAATACAGTTTGAAAATCGGAGGGGGTAACAGAGAGGGTGAAATTGTTCAGAGTACATTATTCACATCTTTGGAATTATTACAATGCACGCTCTTGCATTATCAATCCACGGCAATAAATTTAAAAAGCATAGCAATGTAATTAAGTAAAGTACATAATACTGTATCATACTTTATTGTGCCTTTAAAGTGCACTTCTTTTTAAAAATGTTTACTATAAGACATCATGCCATGTTTTGGCAGCAGTGGCCTCACACATCTTGGGTTCCCTGAATCTCTTGGTTGCAACCAGTGATGGATCACCACCATCTAGGTTTGTGTGAGTACACTCCAATGTTCATCAATGACGAATCGCCTGGTGACACATTTCTCAGCCCATATCTCCACGTTAAGTGATGCACAGCAGTGTTTATGTTAATTTTTGCTGTTCAATCACTTTCTTCAAGACTGTGAAACTGTTTGAGAAGAACATCTCTACATATCTTGCCTGAGTGCTGCCTGTAAGAATCATGCTAAATCCTACTGGGAAATGAGATTTGGGTACACTGCTAAAATGTAAAACTGCATAATGAAAATTTCCAGGCCATCATTATTGATTTTGATTTGGGATGATATTTAAATATTCATTCAAGAATATAAACAAGTTAGAAAACAACGGAAAATACAACCAAGTTTAATTAAACTGAAAAAAATGTCACACATGCTTTATGAATCCAGAATGACATGGGAAGATGTTAAGACACTTCTCACTAGAAAATTAAATAATCATTTATTTATTCTGGGTACAGAGGGACCTAGCTGCTTATTATTTTTGAATGGAAGAACTAACAAGATGCCAATGCCTGTTTATTGTTAAAGGCAAAATTCTGTCTTCCTCTAAAAGTATATTTTGTTTCTGAATGAACAATTAATCTACCTGCAAAATTCAACTTAAAGTGCCTTCAAGAGAAAGCTAATCGGTGGGTCAGGCTTTTTTTCTTTTTGAGTCATTAAGTAATAAAACTCACTTTTGTTACTGAAAGATTAAAAATTAACATCAGAGAGCAGGGGCCTCTGATAGCAGTAGAACGTGTGCTTAACATGACAAGGCTCTGGGTTCAACCTCAGCACCAAAAAAGTTAGAAGTGAAGAAATGTTTGGGAAGTATTTCTAAAAATCTGAGCCTAGGATCTAGAATGAGCAAGGAACCCCAGTTCATTGGTATTATCTTATTAAGTCTAGAAAATTAAGTGAAATTAATGCAACAAATGTGAAATGAGGAAAAAGCTGTTAACATGAAAATAAACATAGGCTATCTGCTGAGATTCTCAAATAAGCTCATCCAATTCATTAACTTTTACATCTTTCCAGTTTCTAGTATCTTTAACTTCCTGAATTTTCTAAACGAATACTTGTTTTTCTATGTATCACTTCAACTCAATGTGTTCCAAATGAAATGAACTCTGAAATATGGGCTCAACAGGGCAGTAGCTATCACCTGGTTTGTTCACTGCTGAGTCCCAGAACCCAGAATGTGCCTTAGGTATGGTAAATGCTCAACAAACACCTCATTCTTCAGGGTTAACTCTGTCTTTCGTTGCCTTCCACTAGACTATTTCACAAATCTGTAGAGACAGAACTTAAGAAACATGACAATAACAAATAATTCTTGTCCAGTGAAATGGTGCTTAGGAAAGGTTTATTTAGAATCCTTTCCCCACTGTGGCAGAAGCTAGCTTTTTCTGCTATTAAGTATATTCATTTTTGCTTTCCTAATGAGATGATGTTTTTGGTAGTTTATGTGAATATTCTTTTGAATGAGTTTTAACACCCTCATGCTTCCTTTATTAACTAAGTTAAATTACATATGCAATACATGTTCATTTTATATTTAAGTGACAATCTTTTAAAATTTATCCTATATTATTTTTGGCGGTCTCTCTGAGATGTACCATGGCTTCATCTTTCACAACCAGATACGGGTAGTGTGAACCATTCTTCATATCTTCTTTTGGTGCTCAGAAAAGATCCAACTTTCCTAACAGTCTATGTCTAGTCTTATTTTTATCTCCAGTGATTTTGTGTTTTATTAATGCTTCTTCTTTGCTTAGCACAGGGTAAGTTATTCTTCACTGGTGGAAGCAATGATTAAGAATTCATTTTATGTCTTGTCATTTGATAGTCTTTTAAAATGGATTAATTAATTATCAACATCTCTGTGAGATGAGCGATAAGACAGAATCTTTTCAGGGTTTGTTGCTTATTACATATTTGTCCATTATGAACTGAAATCATTCAAAATGTGTAGTCTTTTGATATCTAGACCTGGGATTCTTTTTTTGTTGTTTTTCTTTTTTTTTGGGGTGGTACTGGGATTTGAACTCAGCTGCTTGTGCTTGCTAGGCAGGTACTCTACCACTTGAGCCAGGTCCCCAACCCTTTTTGATTTCATTATTTCTGAGAAGGATCTTGCTTTATACCCTGGCTGGCCTGGACAGCAATCCTCCTATTTTGCTTCCCGGCATAGCTGGGATGACAGGGGCACACCATTGTATGCAGTGATCCTCCCCATCACTGTTCCTGAAGTAGCTAGGATTATAGGCTTGAGCCACCATACCAGGCTAGATCTACAACCTCTAATGTTTCAGGTATTCTTGACCTATGACTGAATCTGTATGTTACTTCTGTGTCTGTACACTCCTGCTGATAAGTCAGGAAGGTCTTCATCTTTGATTGTGTGAATGTGTCACATTTCCCTATCTCTGGAGGGTATAAATAAATTAGATAATAGAGTCTCTAAAATCGTAGGAACTCTGTTCTGATTTATGTAAGTCAACTAATTCTAAAATTCCTATAAAATGAAGAAATGAAACTTCTGATACTTTAAATTTTTTGAAATAAAAAGAATTTCAGATACTAAAAAAACACTCCAAGAATCAAAGTTCATATTGTTAAGGTAAATTATTAGCAAACAAGGCTGATTTAATAATTCAGGTTTAATAAAAACAGCTATGAATTTTCTGATTTAACAGTGTTAACATGTACTCCTCCAGCACTTCCAGAAAAATCAGACTTCCTACAGTTCTGATCACACCATGCTTTCCCAACTCTATTCTACAGCTGAGAGCTATAGCTGGCACGTCCTGTCTGCCACATGGAAAACTTCTCTCTTTCTGTAAGACTGAGCTCAGTAGACACACATTCTGTGATTACCCCTCCACAATAGTGCTTTAACGTGTTAACGACATCAATAATTGTAGTGGTAAGTCTACTGAGCCATTTTGTAGATACCTGAATTACTCATTTTCACTCACTCCACCTAGTTAAGTGATCAGTAACTGTTGGATTTTTATCAATTCTCTTTTTCTCTCCATTAATACAACCCCATGCTTCACATGTATAGCATTTTGAAAATTATTAGAAATATAGTTTTAGACATTTTAGGTTAAAGAAGGAAGTTTTTAAAAGAAATCATTGCTTGAAATGTTCTGAGCTTATAACTTAAATGTAGCATTTTTCTGACTCTGAAGCTAATATTGTGATCAGAATTCAATAGCTCATTCTGTAAGAACTTACTAAGCGATATAAAATGATCAGTTGCTCACAAGTGATAATGAGAAAAAGAGAAAAGCAAAATGTATTTTTTTTGTTTTCTTTTGGTGGTACTGGGGTTTGAACTCAGGGCCTCATATTTGCTAAGCAGATGCTCTACCACTTCAGCCACTCCATCAGCCTAAGAAAAGCAGTATTTACCTGAAAGAACAGTTATCTAGATGTTTTTTCCATTGAAATACAAAACTTTTACATTTCAGGCTATCGGAGAAAGAAACACAAACTCACTTGAAGGAATCACGGCCTGCAAAGCCAGGCCCAGTATTATAGCCAACACTGAGACTTCCCTTCCAGCTCTCGTCTGGTGGAGCAGATCCTCCCAAGTTCCTGTCAAGAGAAATGAAACAACAGGAAAAGCTTGAGCATCAGTTCTCAAGAAGAACCATGAGGTTGATGATGAGATAACATCTCACTCTACATCTAAGAACTATTTATTGAACAAGGGTCAAAAAGTCCTGTCTTCATGGAGCTTATATTCTAGTGAGAGTCATAACTGAGACAAGTAAGTAATGTGTTGGTGATAAGAGCTAAGGAGAAAAAAAATAAAAGGCAGATGGGAAGCAACAGCCATCTCACCCTTGACCTTATTAAGTGGGAAAGCAGAGAGTTCATGAAATCCAAAACAACAGGAAATTCACCACTGCGTTAAGAAGAAATCAATTTGTTAAGAAACTGCTGATTGTATAGCGCACCATAAACAACTATTACGTTGTTCTTATACAAACATTTTTAAAAGCGGAAGTGGGGAGATACATTAAGAAACATCAGTTATAGAATACAATGATAGCACACATTCTTTCCCATAGTCTAGATAGTGGGATAACTTTAATGAGTTAATAACAACTCATTTTACTGCCCACATTTTTCAGACATAGAAACTAAGACAGAGAATCACTAAGAAATGGGTCCAAGATCACAAGATCCAAGATTCTAGTAAGTGGTGGGCATATCATATTTTTATACTGTAGGCCAGGCTCAAATATCTAATGAATACTTAAGGAAATCCAAGTACTTGAAAAAAGTCTGAAATCAGTATTCTTCAGACAGAGTTTTGCATTTAAGAATTTCCTTTGTAGCAAAAGAACATGTTTTATTATTATTTCTTAGTCACTAAACTGCTCGTAGGGAATAGAAAGAGTGTTCTATTTTTCCTACTTCAGTAGTTATTTTGATTCTAGACTTTATTTTAACATAATTGCATTATATTGGGTTTAGGTTAGAAGATGGACATCCTGTGGAAAAATATTGTACCCTCATATCCAACTTATAAAAACATACCGTAACAATATCTCTGCCTCATTATATCCAATAGGATGCACAGGTATCTTGGGCATTCCAACTCCTTCTTCAACATTAAGTCTAAAGGTGTACTCTGCAGAAATCAAGTGCGTAAATGAAAACAACTGAAGAATCTGAGACATGGATGTGCAGAAAATTCCTCTATTACTATTAAACTTGCTATGCAATACATTTGAAATTAATATCAAAATCAAAATGTATTGCTATGCAATACACTTGAAATTAATATCAAAATCAAAAGTTTCCAAAGAATCAAACAATTGTTTTATTCTTGTGATCTACAAGAATCATTTACAAGTGATCTACAAGAATCATTTACAAGTGTAAATGATTAAATTTTTACTTTAAGTTCAAATCAGTTATTGAGATTATAGATTAGCACATTTGTTTTGACATTTCACATAATTCTCTTTAATTTTACAAGAACTTCTTATGTGCTCAAGGTAGCTTGAACATTTCTTAGAGAAGGAAGCTTCACTGAGTTGGATGCTTGAAAATGTTTCTCAGATTCTAAAATTGACAAAACATGAAACAATAGTTCTACTGTAGGAATTTTTCTTATTACTTCTGTATCTTTATAAGATAACTGACCACTGAAACAAAAGTGTGGCAATATAATTAGAAATTTAGTAAGTGTATGCAAATAACACTATTCTCTCACTTGACTGAACTAACACCTTAGAAGACTCCACCTTCAAAGAGCAGGATATGCATTCTTTTCAAGTGCGTATGGATTACGTTAGATAGAATACGTCTATAACCTGAGCCATAAAGCATGTTTTAATGAGTGCAAAAATTATACAAAGTATGTTCTCTGATCATAGTGGAATTAAATTAGAAGCCAATATTAGAAAAATACCTGGAAATCCCTGAATACTTGAAAAACAAGTAACATATTATGAAAAGAAATAATAAAACATTTGAAACTGAATAAAAATGAAAATGCAAGATGCCAAAGTTGTAAAATGCAGCTAATGCAGTGTTTAGAAGATGAATTAAAGTACTAAAATACCCATGTTAGAAGAAAGAAGGGTTTCAAATAAATGAAATCAGATTTTACCTTAAGATACTAGAAAAGAATACTAAAGAAAGGTCAAAATAGCTGGCAGCAGTGGCTCATGCCTGAAATTCCAGCTTCTCAGGAGTTGACAATTTGGAGGGTCATACTGGGGCCAACCTTGGCAAAAAATTAACAAGATCCCACCTCGACCAATGAGCTGGGCATGGTGGTGGGCACCTGTTACTTACAGGGGAAATGTAAGTAGGAACATCAAGGTCCAGGTCAGCCCTGGACCTTCCCCAAAACCTAAATAAAGCCAAAGGGGCTGGAGGGCAGGGCGTGGCTTGAGTGGTAGCGCTCCTGTCCAGAAAGCAGGAGGCCCTGAGTGAAAACAGTACCATGAAGGAGAAGGAGGAGGAGGACAAAGAGAAGAAGGACAAAGAGAAGAAGGACGAAGAGGAGGAAGAGGAAGAGGAGGAGGAGGTAGTTTTAAAATAAGCAAGAGAAAGGACATAATAAAGATCAGAAAAAAAAAAGCTGGTTCTTTAAGAAAATCTATGAAACTGGAAAATGTCTAGCAAGACAAGCAAAGAAAACCAGGTTAACTCTCAATACAGAAAGAAGGAGAAGGGGAAGGAGAAAAAGAAGAAGAAAGTTTTATCAACAACTCTACGCCCATAAATTTGCCTATGGATTGATATTGAGGAGAAAAGAAAAATTGAGAGGAAGGGATTTACAGGGAAATGAGAAGAAAATTGGGGCAGGGTATGTGTTCATTATCTTTATCGTGACAGTGGTTTCACATATGTCAAAACTTCAAATTTTACATTAAAAAGAATGTTTTAAAATACAGTGGTGTTTTTAAAAATAGAAATGCATAGGTTGTGTAGGTGATCGGCCCTTATCTAACTGCTACCATATCCCTTGAGGTGTGCTTATGTATGATCTAAGTAAAGAACGACAGAATCCCCAGGTTATTTAAGAAATCTAAATTCTAATCTAAGAGCAATATTACCTTGGGTTTCTGAACCTCTGCTAAAGGTAAAAGAACATCAGCTAAATGTCCCTTTCCTGTGTCTACATCTTATGAAAATCTTTAAACTAAACGTATACAAGGGAAATACTTTTGATTTCCTAGTAGTAGTAATCCAAAATGATCAAATTGAATACTATTTTAGCTTTAATGTTATTGTATAGTACCATTACCTTTAGCTGGATAGCCTGGAGTGAGGGGGTCACCTGCACCATTCAAACTTAACACATTTCCTCTCTGGGCCACAGTTCCAGGAAGGTTCCATCCTTTGGGATATGGCTGTACCCCAGGAGCAGAGTAGTCAGCTGGATCTGAGTACAAGATGATTCCTATGGCTCCTGCTACCATGGCATTTTTAACCTGTGGGCACAATGTGCAATCAATGACACAGAAGTGGCAGATGACTGGCTTCTTCCTACATAAATCAATTTAACAATGTCGAGAAACTTAGACACTGCTTTTGATTGGGTCATTATATACTCAGTCCTCTTTGATTTGAAAATAATTTCCCTCTTGGTAGGCCTAACAAATACCCATATATCTTACAAAACCATAAACATTTCTATGAAATATCTCTATCATCCCCCAACTACAAAATTTATGTCTCCCTTCTTCTTTGTACTTCTCTTTTGTATATATTTCTACTATTGGACAAATTATAATGTATTGAAATATAAGTCTCTGCCTCTCCTACTAGAATGACGGTGTTATTGAGAGCATGAACCACACCTGATTCACTTTTAACTACCTGCCCTCCAAAATCTTGCACCTCACATAGTAAAACCCTTTACAAATATTTGTGTAATTAAGCTGATTTACAATTCTAAGCAGAACAGTCCAGTGTGTTTTTAAAAAAGTGTCCTTGTAAACATCTTTCTAGCAATCCAAACTGGGCAAAAATATGAAAATCTACTCTGTGAGATCACAGAATTTTTAATTATTATCACAAGGACTTGGGCTCGAGGTATGGGTCAAGTTGGTAGAGCACCTGCTTAGCAAGCAGGAAGCCCTGAGTTCAAGCCTTTAGTACCACCACCAAAAAAAAAAAAAAAGTACTATAGCAAAAGACAGGTGACTATCAGTCTTGAGTCACTAAAAAATATTCCAGTATTCAGAAAGCACTCTGATACCTAGACAGAAGTATAATCTGTCACAATTTATGGAAAGGTATTTTGATTATGCCTCTCAAAATATTGAAAGACCATATACTGTGATTTACCCACTGCGTTCCTAGAAAGCTACACTACAGAATCTCACACAAATGAAGTTAAGCTGGGTGCCAGTAACTCAGGCCTGTAATCCTAGCTACTCAGGAGGCAGAGATCAGGAAGATCATGGTTCGAAGCCAGCCTGGGCAAACAGTTTGTGAGACAGTATCTCAAAAATACCCAACACCAAAAAGGGCTGGTGGAGTGGCTCAAGATGTAGGCTCTGAGTTCAAGCCCCAGTATCACACACACACACACACACGCGCGCACACAAATGTTTGAAGTATGTATAGACAAGAATGTTTTAATGTGAATAAATAATGGAATTATTTAACAAATCCAAGCCAAGAATCCATCAACTGAGGGATGGTTAAAAAATCATTTATCAATTCTGCAAAACATTATTTCACCAAAGTATTTAGTAAGTAGTTCATAGAAATTACTAACACTAACTGCTACCCTAATTGCCTTCTAACATAAAGTCATTTACTCCTAATAAGGACTCCATGAGACTGATGCTATTATTAGCATTTCCATTTTGTAAATGGGGAACGTCAGCACAGGGAGGTTAAGGAACTTGCTCACAGTAGAAGACTCCAGAACACAGGCCCAGACTTGACCAGACTCGGGTGTAACTACTATGTTACCCAACTCTCAGTGTGCTGACATGAATGCCGTGAGCTCTGGCTGAGTGAACACATGAAGCTACACGATATACAGTGTGCAACGACCTCTTTGTTAAAACAGTAATTACATATTGTGTGTGTATAAACTGTGCATATGTAGATATAGTCACATTTCACAGAACTAGGTCTGTAAAGAGCTACTAACATTAATCATCTGAACAATGAAGTTGGATAATACAGGGGAGATTTCTTCTAGTTTATTTAAATTTCCTTCAGTTACATCTGAAAACGCAAACATTACTTTGTAACAAAAGTAATTTCCTTTCTGGATATGCAAGGTGACAAAAATAAGATTTTCTGTGCACCCACAGCAAATAGCAGAAAACAATTTTTTTCAAGCAATTCTGGAAATCGTGAAGCAAGTTGATCATTTTGTGTTTACAGGATCTTTTCTCTCCCTCCCTCTAGAAACCCTACCTTATTTCCTCTGAAGACCTTCCCATATCTGGCGATGACAATCTTTCCAGTGCAGTTGATGTTCATCTCCCGTTCCAGTTTGAAAAAGTCTTCAGTACGAGCGTAATTCACATACACAAGATCTCCCTGCAGTGAAAGGGTGAAAATGCATGACACTGCTGAGATTAAAGAGAAAACAAATAAGTTTGTGCCACAAAACTGCAGCCGCAAAAGTGCTCTTTCCTTATTTGGCATTAACTAACAGATCTATGGAATTCTGTAGCAGTATTTAGAAAATCTTTCAAAATCTCGAAAAATTCTAAAAGGCAACATTTAAGACACATTTTAAATGGGATGTTCTCTTTTAAAGAAATGATTAGTGTGTTCTGAACCACAGAAATCAGGGTAAACGTCATTTAAAAATCCCAACTATGTTTAATTTCCACCCATGGTGTTAATTTAAGAACTTCTATGGTATGACCTACAAAAACAGATCTAAAAATCTAATAAAAACATTCAGATTATAAACAATGAAAACAAGCTTATAAAAACATCTAGTGTCTTTCCTGAGTTCAAGCAAGCTCAGGAGTGTCTGCTACTTTAGAGATCGGCATATGCTTTGTCAGTGTCTGCCTTTAATGTCCTTGATGTCTTTTCCAAGTGGTCTTTTCTATTTCTTAAAAAAATATTTTAGTGTTGGAGAGGTGTTCATAGTACTGAACCATGGAAGAGGATATAGATCTCCATAAAGTACCCTTGTTTAATTTCTCCATACAGGTTTTTATACAACAAAGTAAGGTTTAAACCTAATAGAAGTCTTTAATTTTACCTGTGGTGTGCCTTGGGCTGAGAAAGCATTGTATGGTGGCACGATATTTGCAACATTCTCATATCCTTTTGGAGGTGGTTCATGGAATGATGTTTTGAAAGTCTAGAAAGAATTGAAATATGTCAAGTTAAAGGGAATAATTACAGTTTGTTATTAGGTATAACTCATCTTTCTCCCAAGTATACACTTAAGCATTCTGCGGTTAGGTTCTATAATTAAATAGGTAAATTTAATTATAAATTTTTCTCCTCACTGACAACGAGGAGAAAATCTTATCATTACTATTACCTTCCAAGTAACAGAAATTCTTATAAATGCATACCATACTGTGTAACTAAAGGCCTGATGGCTATTCAGCTTTGATGTTCAAATTCAGCATGTTAAATTTGATTTTATTTTCTACCACCCCCAGGTCTGCTTCTGATTTTCTATCCCCTACCTGCATTAAGCATCTCGCTAGGCTAACCTCTCATATCAGACAGTCTAGGAGTTATCCTGAACCCTCTCCTCATTTCCTTCCTCCAGCCAATCATGAATTCTGTCCTAATACACTTCCTAACTGCTTCTCAGATTCATCCTTCTTCCTTCTTCCTGCTAACATCCTAATTCAGCACTTCATCTTTGACCTGCTAAGATTGCAACTTCAACTCCTTGCCTAGTCTAGGTATAATCTGCAGACTCCCCATCTATCTGAAACACCTTTTTAGTCACATCCTTCCCTGCCAAGAGCTTGTCATTGGGTCCAATGAACTGAAGCTGAAGTCTAAGCTCCTTGTCTCCAGAACATATCAACTGGTTTATTCTTTACTACAGCCCAGTTTGTATTTCACCCTCTTGAAATACAGAAAATCTTCAAGTTCTACTAATAATACTAAGTAATTACACGACTTCAAACATTTGCTAGAATTCTTTCTACCTAGAATTCTCTTAGCTTGCTTTGTTTTCTTCATGTGATTAACTTGCCTCGTTCACAACTCACATATCAACTTTCAGGAAGACTTCTTAACTCGCCTCTCCAAATGGGCTGAATTAATCTTTCTATGCAGATAAAAGAGCCTTAATAAAATCCTCTTCGTAGGCACTTACCCTACTGATTTGAAATGCTGTAACCCATTGTCTGCCTGTCCTGTTAGAAAAGCACCCACTTCCTAATCTTCATTGTGGCCTGAAGACAAAGCACCAAGTCTAATACATCGTAGACACTGAGTAGTTAAAAACTGACCCACTTTCTTAAACAATGTGAGTTCTATTTTTGTACTACTAGTAAATTTCTGTCTTTTTCCTTGATCCTATATTCCAATCTGTATAAAAGTGAGGGGTTATAAAACTTGAAAAGTACAAACAACTCCATTTACCTCAGTTCCATGCTCATCCACAACTGATATATAGTTAGCATTTGTCTCATTAGGGTAAGATAGGAGGACATCATAGTGAACCAAGTCAGCTGAATCTAGTCCAAAGTTCTTCCACTGAGTTTGGATTTTCTTGGCAAGCAGTAAATTTTGTTCTGTTCCTGCCAGATGAGGAAGTTGTGTGAAAGAACTAAAATGAGGGGACAAAAAAAAACAAACCAAACAAGTGGGTGTTAAAGAATACATTCAGACATACTTGCCTAAAGACTATTCTGGATGCATTACTCATCCCCTAGGCATGAAGTTATCAATTCTACATCAAAGCTATAAAAAACCTAGATGGAGATACCAGTTTCAAAATGTGGTGTATATACTGTAGTGCTGGGGACTGAATCAAGGCTTGTGCATGCTAGGCAAGTGCACTAGTCCTGAGCTACATCCCAGACTTGGTTGTGCTAATTTTTAAATTAATTATGTACAACAGTGGTGTTCATATTATGCTTCTTCATAAAAGAACATATTCCATGGTAAACACAATCAGAAGAGAACCTGCTGTGAGCAGACACCCTGGAAGAATGTCACACTTTCACACTACTGGTGCACCTTCTTGCTGATTATGAGTAAATAGAGGATATGGGGATGAGATGTTAATGTTTGCCAGGACCCATCAGGCACTTCTACATCTGACCTAGACACTTCCCCTGTTGATGGTATCATGTCTGTGCATTTTTATTTTATATTCCCCAGTGCTCACCTCTTGTCTTTTACCCAGGAAGTACTGATCTGTTCAATAGAGGATAAGTAATACTCTCTTGAATCTGGGTATACAGAAGTTGTAGTATTTAAGTTACCTCACAAACAGTTCCTAGTGAGATTTATTTTGCTTTTGGTGAATACTATTTTAAAATAGTTTTCAAACGCACCAGTAAAGAAGTAATAAATACGTTTGTAAATTAGTTAACCATAAAACAACGAAAAACACTTATGATATTAAAAATAAATGAACATTTATTGAAAACTTACTATGTGCTAAGCACCTTATTGGCACTTCCATATGTGTTGCCATATTTCATCCTCCCAACCCTTCTTTCTTTGTCCCTACTTTGCAAACAAGGAAACTGAGAGAATAGTTGAAGAGTAGTGTTTGTAATTTCACAGCTAATAAATGCTGGAGCTAGAATCTGAAATTTTAGCTGTCTGATCTTGAGAAAGTGTATTTCTCAATAATTCATCTGATCTTATTACCCAATTACTTAAAATCCTTCTACAGCTCCCTATATTCTACCTTATAAAATTCATAGTCAGCAGGGTGAGGTGGTTCATACCTGTAATCAAACCTACTCAGGAGGCAGAGGCAGGAGGATCATGAGTTTGAGGCCATCCTGGGGAAAGACTCTGTTTCAAAAACAAAATTTAAAAAAATAATAAAACAAACAGGCTAGGAGTACAGCTCAAGTATAGGCAAGTTTAGAGCACGTGCTTAGCATGTACAAGGCACTGGGTTTAATCTTCAGCACCACAACAAACAAGCAAACAAATAAACAAAGTTCATACCCCAACATGGCATATAAACCCTTCATATCCGGCGCATCCATCCTTCCAACACTCGTCTTCTTTTCCTCTTACTCTCCTTATAAACATCTCTGCTCTATGTCACTGAGTAGACTTATCTTCCTCCTGCAATAATGATGCTGTCCCCAGGCCTTTAGACTCTGCACAAGGTCTTCTCTCTGACATGAACCTTGCCCCATCTGTCTGAGTCTCCTCCCGCCACTCTTTCCCATTTGTAAACTATTAACCATCCCTGAAGATTTCCCGAGGACCATAGTCCTTGTAAAGCTTTCCCTCTTGATCACTAATGAAAACTGCAGGTTTCAGAAGACTAATATCTTAAATATCTCTTTGAAAAACTACAAATGAGTTTAGACAGAAATTATTTTATATTCATAGAGAAATAAACCAGTGAGGCTAGGGATATTTAATTTCTACTTTACATAATTCATTATTGTTTTATCTTCTACAATAGATAATATTCTTGCAATTAGGGAAAAAAATAAATAAGCTTCCTTAAATTTAGAATTCACCATATGAACCTTTGAACCATATGAACCTTTTTCATATGGAGAATTCACCATATGAACCTTTGTTTCTCATTTTTTAGGGAACCCACTGAAATGAAAACAAATGGTGAAAATACGAAATAAAATAAAATAGCAGCAGGGTATAGCATTCTTAACTTTACATTTGAGTTTCTCTTCATAACCAAGACGAGCATCACATATAAGGTGGTAATGTTCAGGAGAAAAAAGTAGAAACAAGAATGACTATTCTCTCTTTTGTGAAATTTTAATTCAATTTTCCTTCTATTTCATTAGACATAATAGGATTATATGTCCCTTCCTAAATCAATCTTTGCCAGACAGAAGAGCAAATTTTTGTATTTTGGCTGAGAAGACATTTTGTTTAATATAATATACAGCTACAAAACTCTTAAACTGTAGGTTTAAAGGAACACCATTTATTTTATGTAAGTTATACTTCAGTAAAGCTGATTTTTTACAACTTTTTGAGGGTTTCTTTTTGGTGGTACTAGGGCTTGAACTCAGGGCCTCATGCTTGCTAGGCAGGTGAGCCTCTTGAGCCATGCCCCCAAGCCCTAAAGCTGATTTTTAGTGACACTTGTTTCTGAATAATTCCAATTGCGTAGAGACATCTTAGCATGGTGACCTGATAGTGCAATGCATTACTCATGCATCTGCAGGGATACTGGTGTGAACAAGCCTACTGCATTGCTTGTCATGTAAAAGTATGCACAGAACACAATACTTGGTAACATTGAGCTATGTAACTAGTTTATGTATTTGGTACACTTTTCATCATCATCATTTTGGAGCGTATACATTCTACTTATTTTAAAAGTTTACTGTAAAGCAGTACGTCAGCTTATGAAAACGGCACCTTTCTGACAGAATCTGAACACAGAAATAAATGGGATGGCAACTGCCTTCAAGAAGCCCAGAAACGGTCCCCCTGAATGTTGCTCTTTTTTCAAGCTTAACAGCTGGAGGATTTGCACTCATCATTTTTGCTTCCATTTTATCCTGCCTCTGAACAACAAAATGGTATTTGCAAGATGGAATAAAGGTTTATTGTGATAAACTGCCTCTGAGACATTGATCCCCCTTCCACTATACCACTGAGTCAACACCCTTCTAACTTCCTAACAATATGGTGTGCTATAAAAAAGAAGAAAGACAAAAAAGAAAAATATTGCTGATTAAGACCATGCATGAGAAACAAAGGATAACATTCAATTGCAGTCCTAGATTACATGAAGTTGAAACATCAATAAAACAGCCAGATAATTTTTTTGAAGGATGGTGTTTATAAGGATGAAAAATGTACTTCTTACATGTCATAGCCTATGGCTTTCACCCTAAGAGTAGTTCAGAGACATTTTAAACAACCATAAATTTCACAGAGAGAAGACTGCCTGAATGGATACAATCAATTTTAATACATTTGAATATGCAATATTTTAAGCACTATTTTAGGATGAAAAAAAGCTAAACTTACCGAAGAAATGATTTAATGTTTTCAGCTTTCATTTCTGATAGCAGTTTCCACTGTGTACTTTGAAGAGAGCGTGCTGAGATGGTTGTTTCTTTGGCAGGTCTAGTAAACCAGCCTGAGGGGAAAATTGAAGAGGAAATACACACACACATACACACACACAATTTTTTTAGACTTTATTAAAGTAGACACTAAATAAACAAAAAGAAAAAATAGATCATGGTGAACTTTTAAAAAGGTTTATAGAAATGCAGAAAACTTTCAAATTCTGATGTGGACCATAACTATGAGTAGGTTAAAACAAGTTTTCCTTGAAAGATGGCACTTCTCACGTGTTACACATCAACGAGGAACTTTCTTGTTCTGCACTTTGCAGCAACCCCTGACACACTTTGGGAGGATTCTTTTGTCGACACAGGTTCTCAGTTTGTTAGCCCAGGCTGGTCTCAAACTCACGATCCTCCTTGCCTTCGTCTCCCTAGACCTGGGACAACGGGTGTGCACTACCACGGCCGGCACAAAAATATTTATTTAAATGATAAGGAAACAACACGGAGAGTTCTCTGCAGTGCTGTCCATATTAGTTGATAGGGTTGTTTTGTTTTGTACTTTTGTAAGGCAGGGGTTTGCTAGGTAGTGAAGGCTAGCCCGGACTCAGTGTACAGCCCTGCCTCGGCCACCCAAGTGCCAGGACCAAGAACGCCCAACAGTATTCATATTGACACATGAATATTACTTTTTTCACCTCGGGAGATGGTGACAGCACGGCCTGCGTCGTCTGTCCATCAGCCCCCAACCGTGGCCTGAGCTCACGGAGCACTTGAGAAACGCGAGTGTCTGCGCGCGTCCATCGCCCGGCCGAAGCGCGCGGACTTGGACTTGGACTTGGACTTGGCCTTGGCCTCAGCCTCCGCGGCCGCGCGCACTTACCCGCGGTGAAGCCGGCCAGGAAGGACGCGAGCGCGGCGGCCGCGCACAGGGCCAGGCGCCTGCGACCCCGGGACTCTGCCATGGCTTCTTGGGTTCCGCAGCTGGGGCGCGGGCTGCCGTCGCGGGCCTCGGGCCTGCAAGGAATCGGGTGGCCGCAAGTCGGGAGGAGGCGATGGCGAGGGTGGCCGCGGACCGGGAACGCCCCGACCTTCGCAAACCCCGCCCCCGCCCTCCCGCGGGTGCCGAGCCTAAGTGAGTGAGAGAGCGAGCGAGAGAGCCACAGGCGCGGCTGCAGGACGCCTCTCCCTCTGCAGCAATGCAATGCCCCTGTTTCCTAAGCAGCACTCCCACCACCATCACCGCCTCCTGCCTCCCATCCCCAAATGACCTCCGCTCCGCAGCAAAGTTTCAGTTCTTTCCCTTCTAATCAGTCAACTTCCAGACTCTGTCTCCATTTCCAATGGGTCAGACTTCACATGCTGGCTGTGACAATCTAACCCTTCAACCACACACCTGCACCAAAACAGGTGTGGTGACTTCTCTTGCTCCCTTTAGCTGAACATGTCACCAAATTTCTGTAATTTTGTTCCTTCTCTTTTAACTGAGGTTTTCACACCTCACTAGCATATTGTTGGTTCAAATTAGTAAAATTAACTTGCACAGTCAGTGATAGTAGGCTCTGGACAGAAAGCATGTCCTTAAAATACATTTCTCTTTATACTTTTTATTGGGGGGATGGGCACAGTACTGGGTATTGAACTCAGAGTCTCTTGCTTGCTAGGCTAGCAATTTACCAGTTGCGAAAAGTCCCTAGTCTGCATTTCCCTTTAAAGGAAAATTTAAATGTTCGGATTTGCAAAAAATAGTGGTCATTCATTGTAAACAGAATTCCTGCATCCATTCATCTCACCCAGAGGGAAATTTTTAGCAATCAACAACTGACTTCTCATATATAACAAAAACAGTTTTGCAACCAATGCAAAATTCCTGAGTGGACTTCGAAGGAGCTGGCACCTCTTGGTTATACCAACCTTCCCTGCAGGTCTGGAATCCTAGCAGCCTTCAGTAAGACATCTTTGCTTCTAACAAGTTACTAGAAACATCTAGTGTAGTTCTCCTGGATGTAATTATTGATTGATATGCCTAATGGCTTTTCTCTTGGAACATTTGTAGAATGCCTGAAAGTTAACTTAGAAACAAATATCTGTAGAGATCTAATCAAGTTTTAAACGTTTTTATGCTTTTATATGATGGAGAAAAGATAGCCTCTTCAACAAATGTTGCTGGGAAAACTGTGTATCTGCATGCAGAAAACTGAAAGTAGATCCGTGTCTTTCACCCTGTACAAGTATCAGCTCAAAGTGGGTGAAGGACCTTAATATAAGACCTGAAACTTTGAAGCTAATGCAGGAAAGAGCAGGGAATACATTGGATTAATAGGCATAGGCAATTACTTCCAAAATAGAACTCAAATGGCTCAGCAACTAAAAGAAGAAAAATGGGACTACATGAAATTAAAAACTGGACAAAAGAAGAAATGACCACCAGATTGAAAAGGCAGCCTACAGAATGGGAGAAAAATCTTTGCCAGCTATACATCTGACAAGGGATTAATAACCAGAACCTACAGTTCGAAAAACTAAACTCCCCAAAAATCAATGACCCAATGGTAAAATGGTGAAATGAACTGAACAGAACTCTTTCAAAGGAAGAAGTTCAAATGGCCAAAAAACACATGAAGAAATGCTCAACATCCCTGGCCATAAAGGAAGTGCAAATCAGAACTATGTCAAGATTCCACCTCACTCCTGTTAGAATGGGTATCATCAAGAACACAACAACAACAACTGTTGGTAAGGATGTGGGGAAAAAGGAACACTCATACACTTCTGGTGGGAATGTAAATTAGCACAACCACTATGGAAAATAGAATGGAGGCTCCTGAAAAACTAGAAATAGAACTGCCATATATCCAGCAATTCCACTCCTAGGGATACACCTAAGTATCCTGTAAGTCAGGCTACAACAAAGGCACCTGCACATCCATGTTTATTGCAGCACTATTCACAATAGCTAAGCTATGGAAACAGCCAAGATGCCCCACAGCTGATGAATGGATTAAGAAACTGTATTTATATACAGTAGAATGTTATTCAGCCACAAAGGAAGAATGAAATTTTGTTGATTACTGGAGAACATCATCCTAAGTGAAGTTAGTCAAGTTTAGAAAGCCATAGGCTGCATGTTTTCTCTCATATGTGGAATACAGGCCCAATACAAGTAGAAGTGATATTAAGAAAAACAGGTCACACTAAGGGGAGGTCACTAACGAGCGGGAGAAGGTAAAAGAAGGAAGTTAAGAAGGTGAATGTGGTTGATGTACTTCTATACAAGAATGCATATAGAATTGTAAACCTGTTGAAACCACCATAAGGTAGAAAGAAGAAAAATAGAGGGGATGAACCAATTCAGGTTGTAATACACACATACATGAGAATATCACAGTGAAACACCTGTATAGCTATCTTATACAAACAAAAAGGCCTTTTCCCAAAAACGGAGAACAAGAGGGCAAAACAGGTCCTGTCTGGGGGTTGGCACCAGTGAGGGGGGGAGCATATAAGGAAAGGGTGGCGAAGGGTGAATATGATGGAAATATTAGTACTTGTGTATGAAAATGAAAAAGAGACCTGTTGAAACTGTTCCAGGAATGGGTGGAGGATGGATAAAGGATTATACAACTACTACACATCGTAAGAACTTTGCCACATGTCACAATGTACTCCCAAGTGCAACAATAATAAAAAAAAGATTAAAAAATAAATACATGTTTTTAAAGTCCCTACTAACTTCAGCTCTTTTAGCTGCTAGCTTCAACTGGTGCTTCTAGTGTTTTGCTTTTCAAAGGTAAACATCTTTCCAAAGATATTTTCACATCAAAATAAGTCCCCCTGCACAGACACTTGGAATCTTTCAGAGCAAACTTGAATAAGATCACTCAAAGGCAGTTAAGAAACTACTCCTCAAGCAGGGTTGAAGGAGCACGTCCCTGAATTTGGTGGAGTGGCTCATGTGGCAGCGTGCCTCCCTAGCAAGCACAAGGCCCTAAATGGAAACCCTAGTATATATAAGACAAATTGAACAAATAGAAGAAACACTTTCCTAGAGCACCCAGATTTATTTTTTTCTGTGGTTTTAACAGTTGAGACAAGAATCTCCTCTATGTGCAAACAATACCAAATGTTACTTGTGTTGCCCATAAATATTTTGATGATTCATGATGTAATTTGTTAATTTCTAAGCTCTTCTTCTACCCATGGGACCTTTGCAATTGACTCATATCTCTTAAAAAGCACATCCAATTATCTCTGTAAGTTTGTTAGAAAAAGAAAGTAGGAACTGATGATTAAAGTGACAGTTATTTCTGAAATTTGTTTTTCCTCTTTCTACTTCAATTTTGATAGCAATAATTCAAGTTTTACTAATAGAAAAATTACTATATTTCTTAGCAATGTTGTCTAACTTGATTAATTGTCCCAACTTAGAATTAAATTATTAATTCCATAAAAATTTATCACGAGACTAACAGTGCAGAATTATGAGGACATGTTGCTTGACTTACAAAGCCCACGATGTACTGATAAGGCAAATAGTCAACAAGTAATTAACTGTGACAAATTCCAAGAAGGAGCAGTATTACCTTGGATAGGAATGTAGTCGATGCCCCATTAGGCGGCATCTGCAATCAGTTTCTTGACAATCCATTGTAAATATTCCAGTTAGCTGCTTCAACAAGTCTTTGGCCTTTCATTCTTATAGAATCTGTAAGCATTCAGAATTCCATCTTAATGCCACTTATAACAGAAAGCTGCTTCAAATCTAATAATTAGTTTCTAATTATTTACAATTGGCAGAGATTTGCATCTTGCAAAGCACAAAACAAAGCAACACTATTGACTTATGCTAACCCTTTTCAACTTTTCATTCCAAGCTAAAAAAAAAATTAAGAAAATAATTTCTTATTCTAGAAAATAAGAAACATTTTCTAGCTGTGTGTAGTGGTGCACACCTGCAATCCCAGGACTGGGAGAAGGGCAGGAAGATTGTGAGTTTGAAGCCAGCCTGGGCTACATGGGGAGACCATGTCTTAAAGTAAAGAAATAAAAATAAAAAAGAAACATTTTCTATTGGAAACCAACCTCTCAGTAAAACTACTTGACCGGCTCATGATTCAGTTAGCCTCTAACATGAAAAACTCACCAGTTTCTCCATTCATCAGTCTTTTTGTTCTTCTTCCTCTCATATCATGAAAGAAGTTACTTGATAACTCCCAAGTTCAAGTCACCTCAAATGGGTTATAGGTTAGCTGGAAAACAGTGAGTCACATGCACTAATAAACAGTCTATGTAAATTGCTTAATAAGTATCCCAATAATTAGGTTTTAATACTGAATTTAAGTTAATCATAAGGTGACCAAATAGCTGTGAAACTTATAATGTCACTCATGACTGTGTCACAAATTTCATGTTTGAAATGTGTCCTTATCCTTCACAGGAAAGATATCACCTAGATGCTCACTGTATATAGACATGAAGCCATTAATGATGTCACAAGTCACACATTGCTACAGAAATGATAATAGGCCCGCAAGTATGGTCATCCAGAGAGCAATGTTCACTTTTTCAAAGAGTAAATGGTTGATACCATGATAACTGTTATTAATGACAAGAAAAGTGTCCCAGTGAGGATTTCTAAGAGTCTAGACCCCAAATTGTTGCAAATATAAAATTAGATGTTAGAAAGTTGGTACATGGAACAATATAAAAGCCTGCAGAGCAAGTGAGAGGTGACACAAGGGAGAAGTACAGGTAGTGAGAAGAGACTTACAAAAGTGGGAAAAAATTCAAAGCAGAAACCATGATTGGATGATTTCCTTCTGATGTCACAATTACCTACTCAACAATAAATGTGGAAATTAGGAAAGAGTCACCAAGTAAAATTGTAAAACAGGGAGGACCCCTGCTACTCCCTCCAGCCCTACCACCAGGCTGACTTTCCACTTGAACCTAGACACTGGTACGTTTTACAATTGGCCTT